TTTACATTTATATTATTACATTACATATATACGTGGTAGATCCATGCGGCAGCTATATTAGTAGTATAGTTGTAGAACGATTGGATCAGCTCGACCGGGGAAGGACCACGCTCTCACAGAATACCAGCGTAAAATGGCAGCTTAAAACTGCCGTGTTTCGTATGGTGAGTGTAGAGAACCGGAGACCCATTTTACTGGAAAAGAAGCATTCCATCTTAGTCCTCACAGGTCCTCACGCATCTGCATTTTGATTCTTTATCGAGGATAGATGTAGATATCTATGGGTCGCAGCAACCACTTACCATCAGGTATGTGTGCTCGTTTTCCAAGAGATTCCAAGTTTTCATTTTTAAAAAATGGCACGAGTATATCGCAGATAATAGGAAACACTGTATACTGTATTCTATCTCATTGTCGTCTTTTCGTTTCATCGATGTTGAAATCACAACGACTCTAAAGAAGCTTTCACTTCAAAAATAAAAAACTGTGGTTGCCAATCGCATTTCAATATTACCCTAACTAGCATACATGGTTGGTTCACACTTACTATGCTACGGAGTTAGGCTGTTAAGCACAACACCGATAACCTTAACCGATCACCAATGTATTGCTTTTGGGCTCAGCGTTTATGAATCGATGTACAGCCTCAGTAACGCTGGTATTCTGTGAGAGCGTGGTTCTATTATACCCCGCTCGAGCCGACCCATTCGTGTTACAACTATAACAGAGCTGCAGCGTGGCCCTACCACGTTGAGTCAATTCCTGACTTAGATAAATTTCAGAAACAACTATTACATACACATATTATCTTAATAAATATCTCAATAATCGCCAGATTGAAAATACCAGTACTACAGTAGTTTGGTGCTTACATTAAAATTAAAGATTACTAATCTGATAATTTTTCAAATGTTTATTTAGCTTTTCTGTCGGATGCCACAAGATGAGACATTATGAGAATTTCCCTGTGTGTCTGTTTTTATTAGGAACAATACAATTATAAAAAAAAATTAAATTGATGACATGTAGTAAATTGATCAATTATTTAAAAATTCCAAACTCAGGAAATGCCATAACTAGTAAAATTCAACCAGAGTTAATAAATCCAGTCATTTGTTCAGCACTTGTTCCACAGCCGGTTTCGATTAAGCTTATGCCTCCGTGTGAAAATCATCTATTGTCAAAAATTATATGTCGAGGCTATCCGTTCAGGTGGAACAGTGGCGAGTGAGACAATAGCTACACCTTGTATATTTAACCTGTAAATATGCAAAAAGTTTTCTTCCCCGATTTTTTTGCCTCTACAATATTGTATGGGATTTGTCGCTTCCTCATTATGATATTATCTTACTATTGTGTTATAACAACGGGTAGTTATGCTAGATGTATTAGAATATTATTTCATATTTGCATATTATACCGAGTAGTGACGATGTAGGAACCCCATATTATATTGTAAAAATCCCGTGGGTGTCGGAAGGGACGACAGAGGGAAATAAATCATGAGATGGACAACAGTATCTTACTAATCATGACTTAAAAATATATCAAATATCTCCCCTATGGGACAATCTATATGGAACAATCTATAGGGGAGACCTATATTCAGCAGTGGACTTTAGTAGGTTGTAACGATAACGGTATTTACATATATATATATTATGCTTTATTTGTCATGGTATCTCAGTTCTAGTGTTATCAGGAACATGCTGCTGCCCATGTCCTGTTTTATTTCTCTATGTCGCTTCTTCCGACGCTCACGGGATGATATGATGTAGATAATTCTCTTATATACAGAGAATTTTGTATATTTGGTTTTATTATTCGCTCTTGTAGTGAATTCGTTCGACCCAATTCATATATCTACTTGTTTAATTCTCTGATCAGACCGATATTGGAGTACGCCTCTATCATTTGGAACCCATTCTATGAGAAATACAATCTTCAGTTAGAGCGTATCCAACGTAAATTCTTAAAAACCGTTAACTATAGATACTATCACAGATCGTATTCAAGTTATATTAATTTATTAGACAAATTTTACAAAAGAAGGATACTTATAAATAATTTATATCTGTATAAACTATGTCATAATGATATCGATTGTATTCAACTCACTAATCAAATATTCTATCGCGTTCCAAGTGGTTCACAACGTATTCGTGAGAAATACTCACATAAACTATTTATGACAAAAATCTGTCGTACTAACGCTGGTCTTCGTTCCCCATTAAGACGCATAGTGCAATCATATAATGATTACTTTAGCGATATTGATATTTTTACTGCCTCAAATATGTGCTTTAAAAAATATATTAAGAATAAATTACAGGTATTACAAATTTAAAATTTTATTTGTGCAAACGTCTCTTATACTGTTTAATACTTATATATTTTTTGTGATAGTAATTTTTTCTCTTCAACTCGTTACTTATTACTTATTGTTTATACTAATATGTGGTATACGGTGTTGAATGTACATATATTATACTCTTTTCTGATAATACTTTTATAAATACCTTTATACATTTGTTTGTATATCTTAATAAATAAAATAAAAAAAAATAAAAAATAGAAGACAGAGTGGTGTCGCTTCTTCTTCGACGCTCACGGAATGATATGATGTAGATAATTCTCTTATTTAACTGCAGAGAAGACAGAGCGACATTATTATCTCGAACACTATTCACCGCTGTATCGGAAGACGTTTAATAGCCAAAGCACTGAGCTACGATGACTGAGATACGGTAACAACATAAATGGCGAGTTCATCACTCACCTTCGATAGGGCGACGATGACTGCAATGGCAAAATCGCTGATATGACGCAGGACCATCGGCCCTCCGTGCTTTCCGTGCCACGGAGGTGAGACACATCCAAGTTGAAATGCATCTGGACTGCTACTGATAATCTCTTGAGTATGGGAAATTATGGGAAAAGTATGTTCAAAAAACTTCTTAAGAATAAGTAAAGAAAAACCCACTAACTTTGGCCCGATCGGGGATTCGAATCCGGGGCCACATTAGCAGCATTGCGCATTCGCAATGCAATATGACCACTGGGCCAACTAGGCCACTAAAACAATATATCCTACGTTAATGTCAATTAATAAAGATTATTGTACTCAGAACCGTAGCCTTCTCACGAAATGCCGCTTACTGTATAATGTTTATATAATATTTCTACCAAATTACAAGTTTTTTATTTATATGTTTGATTTTCTATTTTAATTTTCTTGCTCTATTATGAAGCTGGATACGCTATAACAAGTAAATACAGGTTGTATTATAGGTTGTATTTGCAAAATTGCTACAGTCAAAAAATCCCAATCTGGTATTTAGATTCTTAATCTTTTATTTTATAGGATAGGGTGACAAACGAGCACACAGTCCACCTGATGGTAAGTGGTTGCTGTGACCCATAGACATCTACATCTATCCTCAATAAAGAATCAAAATGCAGATGCGTTGTCACCCGTGAGGACTTAGATGGAATGCCTCTTTTCCAGTAAAAAGGGTCTCCGGTTCTCTACACTCTCCATACGAAACACTGCAGTGTTAAGCTGCTGTTTACACTAGTATTCTGGGAGAACGTGGTCCTTCCACGGTCGAGCCGACCTATTAGTACTACAACTATTCTACTAATATATCTGCAACATGGCTCTACCACCTGTAAATATACAACGTATAATATAGGTAAATATAGGTATTTAAGCATTCACTTACCATCATATCTGTGCAGTCATCCTATATTTGTGCAAAATCATCATGTAAACGTTTAAGATCATAAATTGAACTTTAAAATTCTAATAACTTTTACCTCGTGCAAAAGACTTCAACGCGATACAATTGCATGAAGAAGTTTAGTGTGTAGTCTGGTTAAACTTTCCAACAAAGGTTATTAAAGCTTTTTGCCATTTTCATTTCAAGGTTGATGGAATGGAGGAGGGTGTGTCACAACACGTTTATGACTAGCATTTGACAATACAATGAGACAATGGACTAATCTAATATTACATTGAAGTAAGGCTAGCGAATTAAGATTCCTATTACTTCTAAATGTCATTAAGACTATTTTAGGCAGTAAACTATATACATTGTGCTGTTGAACATGAAATAGTTTCATGGCAATATAACACAATCCATCATCTCATTTTGTTCTGTCGGTGTCGCTGCTATGGGTAATGTCAAGAAATATCAAAAGCAATCAAGCGGTTTGAAGTAAGCACATAGATTTTTGCTAGGATCAAGCATGTTGGATCATTTACAATACTTACATGGGTCATTCACCTATGTGTTTACTTCGTGATTGATGCAATTTTAGACATTTTGCTCTACTCTACGTTTTGAGCATTCGCGACCGGCTGCTTGAGCAAGCAAAATGAAGCTAGGTGTTCCGAGACGATCAAGCAGCTTTTTAGTCAAGCTGCTTCATCATCTCGGAACACCTTATAACCACATCGTATGCCCAATATACAATTCTCAGACCACGGAGATGCTAATTTGTCTGACAAAATTTCTATGTAACTGAGCCCTATCTCATGAAAACTGTTGTAAGCTATTAAAAAATAAGATAAATAAGTGCATAACAAGCATCCACTGTACATTAACCCCGTAAGAAGATAGCAAAAGTTGCATTATGGTTGGAAATTTGGATGCAAATTGCACCACATAAGTTTATGTATCATACTAATGTACTTTTTCACGTGAAATATTAATATGATTACGCTTATCTGAATAAAATCGTAGATATACATATTGTTCACAAAAAATACGGGATTCGCAAAATTAGAAACTTGATGTAAATCACCATCTCAATTTCTAATTTAGTCATCCTGATGTTTTGTTAAACTATCTCAAAAGGGAATGACCATGTGCTACATCCGCAAGTTTAGATATTGTACTCAAGAAATTGCATCCGGATTTCTGTTCAATAGCTATGGCGCCCCATGAACTAAAAAGAATGTCTCAATAACATAGTATTTTGATCTCTAGTTTTGCATGGCACTATCATGTACGCCTTTACCCTTAAGTAGGACTTATGTGAGTTGTTATATTTATAGCAATATATACCATTTACATTTAACTTTAAATCATTTTTTTTTTGTTTCAGGAGCAGTCCAAACAATTACTAGATCATTTAACGGAGTCTGAAAAGCTGTTCTTAATTGGTGCTAATCCTGAGAGTAAGAAATTTTTATTATTATTTTGTGTTGCTAAAGCGAAGAAGATGATAATTTTTTTTTAAATTATTAACTAGGAAATATTCGAATGAACATCCCTTAAAGTGGTAGAGCCACGCTACGGCTTCATTACGAATGAGTGTGCCCGGCCGGGGATAACACACGCTCATACATAATGCCATCATAAAATAGTTGTATTAAGTTGCTGTGAATCACAAATAACTTTTATAACTAGAAATCTTAACCAAAGCATACCAAAATATTTTGTAAGCTGTTGTGCCGCGTTGAAGTCTTTTACAAGAGATAAGGGTGTTAAAATTTTGAAGATATTTTATACGTGGTAGAGCCATGATGCAGCTATATTATGGTTGTAGCACGAATGGGTCGGCTCGACCGGGGAAGGACCACGCTCTCACAGAATACCAGCGTAAAATAGCAGCTTAACGCTGCTGTGTTTCGTATGGTGAGTGTAGAGAACCAGAGTCCCTTTTTACTGGAAACGAGACATTCCATCTTAGTCCTCACGGGTGACAACGCATCTGCATTTTGATTCTTAATCGAAGATAGATTTAGATGTCTATGGGCCACAGCAACCACTTACCATCAGGTGGACTGTGTGCACGTTTGTCACCCTTATCCTATAAAAAAAAAGACAATCTTGCTCTCTTACATGTTCAAATGAACGAAATTATAGAAACCCATCTATTTTGCTTAACGTAATGTACTCCTGGTCGATTTGTTATACAGATAAGGGTACTAATCAAGCACACAGTCCACCTGACACATAGCCGCTTACATCTGTCCTCGAATAAGATTCAATAAACAAAAAGTCGTTGACGTCTCTAAAGACCAATCTGTAATGTCTGGTTATTCAGTAAATGGATCACTAGGTCTATTCAATCAAAATACGGAAAATAGCAGCAATATGCGGTCATTTTATGCTGATATTCTGTTCGAATGTGGTCCTTCCACGGTGTAGTTAAATTATTTTTGATGCAGCAATAATACAGCTGTAGTGTAGCTCTACCCAGTAACAATTTATTAATAAGTTATATTATACATATATATATATGTATACTTTTAATAACGTCAAAACTAATGATTTAACTTTTTTCAGATGCAAAATTTGACATAGTTCATTTAAGACAACCTAGACGCCGTAAGCGCTCACTATATCACGATAACCCAGATCTAAACTCTCTTAAGAAGCATTTAGACATTAAACTAAGTCCTAGAAATACTTTCCTAGACCACAAGTTCCTACTTATGAGGAGATGGACGAATAATACAGAGGCTGTTATCGATCAACATGCTGACGAAGAATTGGATCTCTGTTATTATAGAAGTGATAATGCTGCCTTGTATGCTTGTGAAGACATGGTAATTAGATTTAGATTTTTACACTGGTAGCAATCACAATAAAAAGCAATATATATATATATATATATATATATATATATATATATATATAAAAATTATATAAACCCTTTCTAAATACATAATTTATTTAATTAATAGGCGGTAGGACTTCTGCCGCCAACTAGCAGCGCTTGGCTCTGTTGTGTTCCGGTCTGATGGATACAGGGAGCCAGGCAGCTTAGTCCTCAGAATCATTTGTATCGTTACTTGTTTGACGTTAGTAGCAAGAGTCCATGGACTGTAGGAGCCACTTACCATCGAGTGAACTGTAAGTTTCATTTATCGTATGTAATATTTGGAAGAATAAGTAATATAAAAGTTTTTGTCTATAGAAATAAATAAAATTGAAGTGTATGTTTGTAATGTCAAAATAACAGCTTTTTACTAAATGTATATACGGTACTAATAACAAAAAACACAATTTTTAGAATTTTTGTCTGTCTGTCTGTTTGTTCAGATTTTGATAGGATTTTCACTGGCATACAGCTGATGTCATAAGGAGTAACATAGGCTACTTTTGTTTTAGACAAAATAATTAGGGTTCCGCGCAAAAAAATTTAAAACCCTAAATAACACGCGGGCGAAGTCGCGGGGAACAGCTAGTAAAGAATAAGTTTGGAATTATTCTTCATCTTAACCTCAAATCTTCTGCTATGCTCCTCCCGTTACGGAGTATTTGCTTTAATCACCAAGCTTCTGAGACGCTGCTCTCCGTCGCTGAGCTGCGTATTTTACGTCTGATGTTAATGGGACCATAATAATACTCGTATTCATACGCCATAACTAATCGGCAAATAAAGCTCAAATACCTAATGAACATCATCAACGGCCTTTACGTCTATTAGTAGACGATCTAAACAGTGTATTGTATTACCTCGTATGACTGCCTCGTTGGTCTAGTGGTTGCAGTAGTGCGGCTGCTGATCATGAGGGTTCGAATCCCGGGTCGGGCCAAAAAAATCAGTAATTGAGTTTTTTCATCAAGAAATTCTCAGTAGCTGCCCGGAGTCAGGAAGTTGGCGGTGTGCCCGTGCCTCGGAAAGCACGTTAAGCCGTTGGTCCTGCGCCTGATCTCTCTCCGGTCGTGTCGGTTTACCGTCCCATCGGACTATGAGAGTGAGGGAATAGAGAGTGCACCTTTGCTTGCGCATACACTTGGGCACTGTAATCTTGTCCTGCGCCGATGGCTAGTCTCCGTTGAGAGTCCGCCGTGACCGAAATTCAGTCTGGAGGACATTATTATTGTTGTATTACCTCAATCTCAATAAACGAGGAACATCTACGCTTAAGGTAGGGATTTTTCCCAATCGTAGTCAAATAGTGAATATGAACCTTCAGATAACATAATGTACATTTTATCTGAGTCCAGGTTTAAGTATTTATCAATTAATAATCATGGAACTTTAAACTTTAAAATCTATTTGTGGGTTTCTTTAGGTACTAAATTCATGTATCATATTCGATTAATTTTAATTTTCAGAGAGGATTATTTAAAGTAAATGGAAGCTTCTATTATATACATCCATTACCTGAAAGATTTCATACTGACGAGACAAAACCACATGTTATTGTCAAACGTCGCACAGACAATGAAAAGTACACCAACTATGATACAGAAGATAGTAATTGTATAGAAAGAGATAGTATTAATAACACTCATTCTCTCCATTCTATTCGAACATGGACTAAACATCGAAGAAAAAGAGAAGTAAATACAAACAATTCAACTACTACACTGAATCAATTTAAATTAAATTTAGCTCATAGAAACAAAACAATAGGTACATTTATCGAGAAATTGTCACCAGGGACTAACAGGCAAAAGAGAGCTATTTTGCCTGCAATATTTGTTGAAACGGCTGTGTTCGTCGATAGAGATTTGTACAAACATATGACAGTAAATTTTCCAAAAGACACTGAGCGAGAATTAGTGAGATTTGTTTTAGCAATGATCAACGCTGTACAGCTGATATATCACGATCCGTCTTTAGGCAGACCAGTTAATTTCATTCTTAAAAGACTCGAGATTCTACACGAAGATCCAGTAAACTTAAAGAGACCGCATGACATAGACAGATTCCTGAGCAATTTCTGTACATGGCAGAGGCTGGAAAACCCACCGGGTGATAACGATCCCTTGCACTGGGATCATGCTTTGATATTGACTGGTTTAGATTTATACGTTGTGAACAAGAATGGTAAAGTCAGTAGCCAAGTTGTAGGTAAGTTTTCTTCTGGTATTACTAATTTTATTGATTTACAGTCTATATGTTTGTAAGTAGCATTAATGATTATCATCTCTATTTTTAAATATCAATTGCTGTCCGTTAGTCTCGCTGAAACTCGAAAACGGCTCGACTGATTTTGATGAGTTTTTGTGTTTGAATGTGTTCATATTTCGACCCGGTAGATGGCGCTGATGTAAAGAACCAGAAATCACCCGTGGGAAGCCGTGGCGTATCGCTAGTTAGCGAATAAAATAGATTGTAAATTTAAAATGCTACAATTGCCAATCATCTATCAAATTTGAAATGCTCTCTTTGTAATTGCGACTGTTATACTGTGGATTACCTCATTCGATACGAAGTAATTTATTACCTCTCTCAATTTTAACTTTACTTATTTTATTAACAGGTGAAAGACATTTTAGTATTGTTAATATACGGTGGACTAATTTTACGGATTCGATCACATTTAACTTTTTAATTACTGACGTTTCAGGCGCTTTACGTGATGATATTCATAAAATTATTTTTATTCAATGTCTGTTATTTTTAGGTTTAGCGCCAGTTGCCGGTATGTGTACAGTAACAAGTAGTTGCACTGTGAATGAGGGCAGGCACTTTGAAAGTGTTTATGTTGTTGCTCATGAAATTGGACACAAGTAAGTTTCACATATTATAATAGTCTTTAGCTTTACAGGGTTATTTGCCTTATTGTATAATTTAATTATAACGAAAGGTTATTATTAGTGTTTCATGTTGTTTTAATTAATTATAATAATCATCCCAGTGGATCTCCATCTATTCGAATTCGGATGTCAATTATTCTGTCTCACAGATTTCCTCAGAAACTGTTACACGTACATTATTAAAATTTGACATAGTTTTAATATGCGGTTATTCATAAATAGATAAAAGAAAAAATCGGGAAACATAGGAAGCAGAAATAAATTAAAAACTTCGTGTAAGCTCTCCATTAAACGATCTTTGATTGACCATTTAAAAATATAGTTATAATTTTTTTTGTATTTCCCCTATCTTGATATTTATGACTTAGATGTCTAAATAAGAGGAGGCATGTGCCCAAGATTGGGACTTATATAGGCTGCAACTTTACTTTTTTATGTTAATATTGAAATATTTCAATTACTTCTCGCAGCTTGGGAATGCGACATGATGGACCTTTGGCTGATAATGGCTGTGATCCTAGCGCGTATATAATGAGCCCAACGCTGGGCAGTGGCAAAATCACTTGGTCCCAATGCAGCAAGAACTATTTAGAGAAATTTCTAGAGTAAGTATTTCCACAGTCACTTGTAGCATATTTCGCAGGATATCGCGGTGTTTCGAATTCAATAAAAACTTTAACGGTACACATATATTCCATTTTTATCACTACAGCACAGTGCAATCCCGCTGTCTTCTTGATCATGGAAATTCAGCTGGTCAATTGGATCACAGCGCTGAAGGCATTCTCCCTGGTGAAAGATTCGACGCTGATCAACAGTGTAAGTAACATGTAACAGATATTAAATAAATTGTGTCTGGCAGGAATGACATAAATTTTAATCGCTGATCATATGTTTATGTCACTTCTGCCAATGTTTTATACACAAATTACAAGATTTAAAAGTATTAAAGTTAAAATTTTGATGATATTATCGCTCTGATCGACTGGCAAGCCATAAGCTTACGGTAAAGATTATGGCACTTGACGACCCAAATAGTTATTTAGAGTATGTTGATACAACTTGTCTAATTTTATACAACGCTGACGAGCCGCGTACTTGGCTCGTCGGCTTACAAAACCACGGTTTTTGATGATCCACCGAGTTTTAGCTTTTTGGGGAAAAATGCCCTCTATCAGAGCCTTTAGATGTGTAATGAATGATTACACATCCAAATGGTTAATAATAATTTTGTTTTTGTTTGTTTTAATTGCATTGGATGGTTTGAATTTTTCTCAAAATGCTAACCTCACCTGAGCGTAGTGCATATTTGTTAATTAGTAGATATTTAACGGAAAAAGTTTCAACCCTTTATATTGATGATGGACAGCAGTTTGAACAGTCTGCAAATGTCAGCACTGCACTGATCAACCCGCCTTGTTATATAAAACTGAAATGACAAATGAATTTATAGTACACCTGATAGTAAGTGGCTATTGTAGTCCATGGACTCCTGCAGCCAATCACAAGTAAAAAAAGGTTAGAATTGCAGATGCAACAACTTTGAGAACTAAGATGGAATGCCACGCTCTCAAAAATACCAGCGTAAAATAGCAATAACACTGCTGTGTTTCGTATGGTGAGTGTAGCGAACCGGAGACCCTTTTTACTGGAAAAGAGGCATTCCATTTCGTCCTCACGGGTGACAACGCATCTGCAGTTTGATTCTTTATTGAGGGTAGATGTAGATGTCTATGGGTCACAGCAACCACTTACCATCAGGTGGGCTGTGCTCGTTTGTCACCCTATCCTATATAAAAAGGCTTGTAGTTATACTGGCTCTTTACACCCTTCAGATTGGAAAAAAGCAGATTAATCACTGCTATTTGGCGGCAGAAATAGTTAAGAGAGTGATACCTATCCAAACGGATTCCTAAAACCTAGTGAGTAGTAAGCGCCTACACAACTTAGACTTAGATATTTAACTCGAATGGAAAGCAGACACTGAACAATTGTTCTACTATTTTGTTGTACGAATATTAACGACAAAGCAATGCATCGATTCGAATGCGAGATTTATTTATTTTTTGTTTAATATTTTTTATTGTCTGCAAAACCAACAGCATTTTAAAACATTATAAAGCTATAGAAATTATTTACTTTTTCTACTGTCAATTACAGGTCCTTACTTTATAAAAAATGGTCATATAATATCACTACAACTGTGTGGATATAATATATAAATAACGTTTAAAATATTTGTAGACGAAAAAGGGTCGGCGTAACGTCAACCGAGCGTTTAGTTGAATGTTGGTGTAACGAAAAGAAAGGCATTAAGGCATGTTTTCCTGCGCGCACACACACATATACAATTACGCTAATTTTATAACGTGAGACATACCTTTATATACAGGCATGCTCAAATATGGTAGCGGTAGCCGTCACTCTGCAGCTCAGAACTTGGAAGACATCTGCCGAGACCTGCACTGCCAAAGGGAGCGATATACTTGGACTTCACACCCTGCGTTGGAGGGGACAAGATGTGGGGAGGATCTCGTAAGATATTTGTTTAAAATATTTTTATAGAAGTGAGGGTGATCTTCGGGCATACAGTCCACCATACGTTATGTTGGTGTTGCACAAGGATCTTTCAATTAAAAATACAGCTGAGTTGTCAACCTTAAGGACTCGGATGGATTTTTTTAAATACTAGTAATGCTATTAAACATTACTAATATTCTCTTTTAACCACTTCTGGTAAGCTTAAAATGCTTGTGTTAGAAGTGGTTCACGACAGTAGTCGAATGGTGGATTCTAACCCACGACCTTTCGAGTTCACGGTCCGCGCCCTGCCATTAGGCTACTGACGCTCATTACAGCATATCGAACAGACTGTGATATGCTATAATAAGCATATCACAGTATGTGAGATATACAGACTGTGAGATATTACGGGAATATCTCACAGTCTGTAATTTCAATGGATTTGCAAACCTATCAGACCAGAACACAACATTGCAGGCACTGCTGCTTGGCGACAGACACAGGTAAGAAGATGATACCTATGGGATGTCTATGGGCCACAGCAACCACTTACCATCAGGTGGACTGTGCTCGTTCGTCACCCTATCCTACAAAAAAAAACAACAACGATATCAATATTACAGACAGAGACTTAAATTTAATTTATACGTATAGATTTCTTTTACAATTAACTATTTTTCGTTCTGATATTTTTATTAATATGATATGTAATGTGAGCGATAGAATAGTGGATGATTATTATCTGAAAATAACTTAATATATTTTTTTTATATTTATTGAGGTAAATATACAATGGTACAATAAAATATTTGAACACCAAGGCTGATAAAAACAATATTCACAATTGTGACACCAACATCATTTACCACAGCTTACACACAGAAATAAATAATTATAAACGCGTGAATAGTTGATACGTAGTAATATACTAAGACGTAATGTCGCAATATCTACTAAGTCAAAGTTGATATTGCAAGACTGAACAATTCCATACAGAGGGGAACCATTACCGGCATTGGAATGGCAGCGAGCGGTTGATTGATTGTTAATTGATTGTTGATTGTTGAGTGGTTGATGGTATTTTTATTATTATACAACAGTACTGCAGAGGTGGCACGTGTGTGGAGCGTGAAGGCTCAACAGTACGCCGAGGGTCTTGGGGCCGCTGGTCTCGTTGGTCGGAATGCGCTTCAGCATGTCTGGTTGACGACACTCACGCGCCCGCCGCCGCTGGGGTTGCAGTCGCAACACGACGCTGTAATAGACCTAGGTAATTTACCTTTTCTAAGATAGGCGTGGGAGCAATCTATACTGGAATACTCCAGTAATTAGTTAACTAAACTAGAAAAATCTATTAATTCTTACTTGACACCATCATTTTAACTAATTTCACGGATTATCTCTGTTTAATTTTAACTTTTTTAATTCACGATATTTCCGACACTTTACAGCACCCACAGTCATGCGGGGGAACTGAGGTGTTTGACGTCCTGATGTCATAGTTAGCCCAGCTACCTTCAGTTTTGAATATTAACTTTTGGTCAAATCTAAGCAGAATGAGCTTACAGTATTTTTAAGTCTTGCAGTGGTATGCTTGGGTTTGGGTTTAATTATATTAATCATGGGATCTCAAGCAGATAGCAGCACGCAGCCATATTCTTTATTAAAATTAGGTTTTTTTTTATTTTCAATTACGCCTCGAACCATCCTTGGTAGGAATGGATACTAACTAACTAAACTATAACAACTAAGAGTTTTCCAGACTGTATCAGTTTACAAACATAAATTGCACAAGGAATCCAGACCCGGAACAATTATTTGTAGACCATACAAATACTCCTTCCGTGCCGGATTTTAACCCGCCGTCCTCAGCAACGCATTAAGCTACTGCTTAAATAAACATTTAAATACTAGAAGTACAACACAAATTAATATTAACTTATGGTGGTATTTTTCAGGAATGAACACGGAAATAATTATTGCACGGGTCATGACAAAAAATACCAATCATGTCATGCGCAACAGGTAAATATTTTAACTACTATTATAATAATTTGATATTATTATAACACAAACAACTATAACATTTTTTTTTGAATTAGATACGTGGTAGATCCATCTTGTAGCTATATTAGTAGTTGGGTCGGCTCGACTGGGGAAGGACCACGCTCTCACAGAATACCAGCGTCAAATAGGAGCTTTCCGATGCTATGTTTAGTATGGTGAGTTTAGAAAACCGGAGACCATTTTTACTGGAAACAAGGCATTCCATCTTAGATTTCACGGGTAGGCCACAGCAACCACTTACCATACTTATCCTATAAAAAAAGGGACTATATATCAACGTTTTTAACCAATTCATATTAAACGTTAACTATATTGCATTGGTAATGCTTAAATTGCATTACGTTTAGAGATAAGTATTTAAAGATATTTACTCCATTATTCACAAGAATTTTTAGGATATTTTTTTACAAGTTAGGGTGACAAACGTTTACACAATCCACCGGATAACAAGTGGATACCGTGGCCCATAGTAAGCTGCATCTATCCTCAGAGCCGGATAAACCTTAAAGCAAAAGAGGTAATTACTGTCTATAGGCCCGGTTAAAGTCGCGATGGTCTTAGAAAAAAGCTTTTGTATTCTGTGCTACCGACAAAAAATTGAAAAAAGGGGATGGGGCCAAACCACAGAGCACTCAACACAACACTCGCATCGCCCAGGGGCCTCCAGATGCGGCAATCTAGCCCTATCCTTGATTGAATATTAAAATGCACATGCTGTGTTTACATCCTAAAGTACTGAATTGAAGTCGTTACCAGCCAAAAAAAAGCTTTACGCTGCTGTTTTACGCAGATATATTGAGAAAGGGTTGTCCTTCCCCAGATGAATTGCATTACTTCATTTGTTTTTCCATTTGTGTTGTAGTTATAAACAGCTGCATCGTGGCTCTACCAACTACAGTGTTTTGATTGGTGGGAACAGACACTGGTAGATTTCTTTTCCTTTATAGTTTTTGGTGTTGTACACACCAGGAAGTGTATGCTCGAAATTCACAGAATATCTATACCAACCACGCGTTGAGTTATTCAATGATAACAGGTGACACCTCAATGATCCACGATTTTTTCTCATTTCACTTAGATATGAGGTGCAATATTTGACAGATTTCATTGCGGGGAAAGTTAATTTGTTAAAAAAAATGTAGGTATATATGTATTTGTCTAAAATATTAGTTATATTTTATATTAATTAGGTTATAAATGGATAATCTAAGCTACGAATATTTCTAAATGTAAAAAAGAGAGAATATGTAAGAAATTAATGAATACGGCATTGGGGCTCGTTTATGTGTATTTTTATATAAAATGCAACTTTTCAATGACGATGACACTGTGCGACCATCTGCGTTTCAAATAAGTTCATCTTAGTCCGAACTAGCGACATCTGGAGAGCGTAAGAATATTAGTCCTCATTTAAATCCCTATTTACCTGCATTTCGTATTCGAAGCCAAACAAACACATTCTACATGGTAATAAATTAATGCCGTAGCCCGCGCCTACATCTATCTTCGATTATGTATCGGTCATGCTATCATTGTATTTGCAACTATCAAAACTATAAACTATCATTTTTAACAAATGCACTACTAAAAGTAGGACTCGTCTAGTCCACCGCAATACGTTTTTTTAGTTACCTACAAACAAAGACCTTTCGTGTATCTCAGCAAGTTATGATGAGAGCTAATTTCGAAGTTTCCGTGCATGATAAGGGTTTGGTTGTATACTGCCCAGGACTCATTACCATAACCATTACAGGCTGTCATTACAGAAGTCTACAGGTGAACAAAGGCCCCATATTCGCTATAATTGCCACGTTTGGTAGGCGGGTTGGCAACCGCAGTTAATGGTTTCCCTCTGTCACCTCTTTCGACACCCACGGGAGAATGTGGGGTAGTGGATATTCTTACACCACCACTACAATGTGCAAAATGTAGTATAGTCTCATAAATCGCAACGTAATCACAAGGGACATTTACTGGTTTTCATCTTCTTGCTGGTTTTTTTTAATAATATTATAGGGTGACAAACGCGCACGCAGTCGACCTGATGGTAAGTGTTTGCTGTGACTCATAGACATCTACATTTATCCTCAATAAAGAATCAAAATGCAGATGCGTTGTCACCCGTGAGGACTAAGATGGAATGTCTCTTTTCCAGTAAAAGAATTTCCGGTTCTCTACACTCACCATACGAAACACGGCAGCGTTAAGCTGCTATTTTACACTGGTATTCTGTGAGAGTGTGGCCCTTCCCCGGTCGAGCCGATCCAATCATGCTATAACTATACTACTAACATAGCTGCAGCATAGCTCTAACACGTAGAAAAGGTCTAATAGAAAACCTAAACAATAGAGAAGCCAAAACACAAAAGTGTTTCAAATTACGACCGTATCATCATAAGATACTAACGCCATGTTTCTATATTTAAAAAAAAAACGTCAACCCATAAAACCCATTTAACGGAGTGCAGAGTCCTTCATTCCAAATTCAATTCCAAAACATTCGTAAATTAACGTCTTATCTTTCTTTCGTCTATCTTTCACCTGCACTTGATATAGATAGAATAAAACGGATCGTTAGAAGAAAACGGATCGTTTTCTGAATATATAGGGTACGGAAATTTCATTTTAATTTATTGTATTTCAAGTGCAACAAAGTATCGAGGATGACAGTGCGAGAGTTCGTCGACCAGATTTGCCTGCGGGCCCGGGACGTCGATCCCGACCTTATCGGCACAGGACTCCAAAGAATCGACTCTGATGGTCAGTTATAAGTTTGTAAATAATTTTATTGGTTATTTATATTTTTATCCGTTTACATTGTAATCTATTTGTTTCATTTCCAGAAAATCTGGTTAATTTAATTCCGTTTGTGCCGGCAGTTTATTTTAAAACGTAATAATTATGTACTCTTTGGTCTATTTATTACATAGACTTAAACGTCTTATACACGGTCCATCTTGACGTACGTCCCGCCAAGATCATGCACGACGCAAAACCACAATGAATAAGCTTGACGTACGTTAAGTGACGTACGTCAAGATGGACCGTGTATAAAATATTTTAGGATAGTAACAGCTTGGTAACAGCATATTCTGTCTATTATTTATTATACCAAGAGCAAAGAATGTATAATCCATGGACAAACCTATAATTCTTTGTATAAAATATAATCACTACGTTTTAAGTATAAGTTTTAAGCAAGAGTTCAATATCATGATTTATCAGTGTGTTTGGTAATTCAGACTAATATATTACTCGTAATAGCGCTAGGTACATTTCAAGTGATGCCGAAACAATGCTCAACTTCTTGACAAGCACAAATCTTTATTTCTTTATTTAATAGCCCGTCTAAATTGAACGCGCATACATGCACCTAAAACTATGTTGTTGATTGGAAATGATTTGAGATACCTACTAATGTGCACGGGTTCTTACAATAAGTTTAGGCATATAATAATTTCTTAAATGAATTTTTTACACAGGAATAATACACATTGAATAAAGCTAATTTTACGGATTTTAACACGTTTAACTTAACTTATTTAACTTGGTTTTAATTCCCGACTATACAAAGCACCCGATACGTTAAGTTAAATTAAAGACGATTAAATTCGTATTAGCTTTATTCATAGTTAAGCATGGTTTTGGCTTAGTTTTTACTTGATTTGAAATGTATGCAGCGCTCCGCCTTTCTTTCTCTGTTGGTCTGAATTTAACATAAATAAATAAATAACCTCTGGCTCTGTATCGCGTGGTTAAAAGCTTACTACGGGCTCGCGGGTTCGAATCCTGCATAGGTATGACCTACAAACATTTATTCCGTATATCGTATATCGAAAATTGTATTTTAAACGCCATAACGATATAGGTGAAATGGTTTGTGATAAATGGCAGTGTTAAAATTTTGTATACGAAAAATATTCGTAAACATAAAGTGCACCTACAAGCATAGCCCCGTTCCGTTCCAAAGCTCGGTCGTTAGAAACGTTATAAGATCTTGTCATTGTCAATTATTGACGGTACTGGGTAATCATGCAACATATGTTTATTGTAAAAAAAAAAACGTTACCACCACGCTAGAATTTTCTCTTGTATCGTCAAGACCATAGATAATTCTATGGTCAAGACAGTTTATATACAGACATTCAGACGCGAATTATTTGTGGGCTATACAAATATGTACTTGTTCCGTGCAGGATACGCTCTCAGCGACGTGCGCCACGAAGCCATATATTTGAAAGATATATAAATTTTATTTTTAATTTAAATTGCAGATGTAAGCAGTGCTTGCGCAGTTTGGTGCGACACGAGGGGAGGTGGATACAAGTCGCGTGGGTGGAGCCTGCCCGATGGAACCGCTTGCTCAAAGATATCGCCAATGTTCTGTATTTCAGGAGTTTGTCAGGTATGTCTGTACTAGGTTGTTGAGATCACAATGGGCTACTTCTGCCGCTAAGCAACAGTTTTTACATTGCGTACATAATTATATGGCGTAGCAACTAGACATAGACTCTTTTGGGGAGACGGCGGCGTGTCAGGATCGTGACAAACGGATGTCGCGAGGTCTCTGCCTACCCCTCTGGGTGACAAGCATGAGAATTAACGTTCAACGTTATGGAAGGGTGTGGATCGCGAACTTTAAAGGTCGTGAATTTGAATCCGCCATCCAACTACTGTCGTGAACCGCTCCTAACACAAGCATTTTAAGCTTACCAGAAATGGTTATAGGGTATACTAGTAATAGTAATAACATTGCTAGATTTTTTTAAATAAAAAAAATTACTCATAGATACATACATATTACATACATGTATGTAATTGATGTAAAATTCGCCCACCCATAACACATAAATTAGTTAGTCTTTTGATTTTGACAAATTACATCTCAATCGAAGTTCCGTGCCGCCGTGCATAATTGCGCAAGAGACATTATTATAAAGAGTATTACCACAGGTATTACGAAGTGTTATAAATCCGTGTATACACTATAATATGATGTTAGCATAAAAGAAATATGGTAGACGTAAACTATGACCTGAATATAAGCAATGTAAACTTTCTAAAACTAGATAATTTGTGAATAGGTATATATTTTAGAACAGGGGTTTTCAAACCTGGGGCGCAGAGATCTGCAAAGGGGGGCACGTGCTAGCTGCGTACTTAGGGACCTTACGACCAAGAAACGTCCGTAGGAAGGTGCAGTGTATGTACACCGAAAAAATTGGCGAAACAATGTTTTGGGACAAATATTTCACAATTTATTGCAAAATAGTAGAGGAAACATACTCGTAACATCGATAGTGCTTTGCGTTGTGCGATTTCTGTGGTTAAGCCGTGAAACGGAAACCTCGTTAAAACCATGAAAGCTTATTCATCTACATTCGATTAAATAAGAAGTAATATTATATAATTAAGTAGTTTTTGTAAGATATTATGTAACTTTTAAACATTAAAAATTTGATGTTATTGAACAGAACTACTTTTTTCTAACCTGATAGTAATCTATAATAATCTGAACAAGGTGCGCGGATATATTTTTTTGAAAGGGGGCGCGTCAGAAATAAGTTAGGGAACCACTGTTTTAGAGTGTAGACGGATGTTTCGTTTTTTTTTAATTACATTTTACATATTTCACTAATTTATACTCGTTGTTTGCAGAAGTTCACGTGCAACACACATAGTGATACAGAATTCTCGCTGAGGCCGAGCGACTGTGAGTGGGAGGCGTTACAACTGCAGACCGCCACTCCGCACTCCGTTACACCGTAAGAATACAAATAGATTCAATATAGATTATGTAATAATAATAAAGGATATGGTATGTAGTGGCGGTTTAAGAAAGTCCACCACCCCTTATGGTATCGTGGGTGTCGTAAGAGGCGACAGAGGGAAACAGAAACAGCAGCAACATCTTTCTGATAACATCTCGAAAAAAAAATAAAAAAAATCGATTTCCAAATCGCCTGCCAAGCATGGCAACGAAGTCAATATTCCACTATGAGGTAATTGTTAATCTGTGGACGTTTGTAAGCTGTAATGGAATGAAATAAAAGGTACGTGTCATTGCGCCATAATTTCGTTATATAACGGACTAAATCATAAACGAACCCTAAGTCACGCTATCGAAGTTTTCGAACGACTCTGATGCCCCTTGGGGTAAACAGATCTTATACGTGGTAGAGCCTTGCTGCAGCTATATCAGTAGTATTTGTATCACAAATGGGTCGTCTCGGGCGGGGAAGGACCACGCTCTCACAGAATACCAGCGTAAAATAGCAGCTTAACACTGCTGTGTTTCGTATGGTGAGTGTAAAGAACCGGATACCCTTTTTACTGGAAAAGAGGCATTCCATCTTAATCCTCACGGGTGACAACGCATCTGCTTTTTGATTCTTTATTGAAGATAGATGTATATGTCTATGGGTCACAGCAACCACTCACCATCAGGTGGGCTGTATGCTCGTTTGTCACCCTATCCTATAAAAAAAACACCTTGTTCGGCATTTTCTTTCACGTCTAAAAGTACTTCTACTTCATAATCTCGTGTCGATTTGCGACTATTGCAGTAGGAAACGTCTCACACGCCTTTGACGCTCTCCTCATCGCCGGTTTTATACGTCTGACGTGAACGAAATTGCTATGTTATGGACCAAGTGATTAATAGGGCATTATTCTAATGTCCAGACAATTTAAGTGTCCAATATTAGTAGACAATATGATAAAACGATTGAATTATTAAATTGACCGGACTTTATGAATAAAGTCCGTTAGGTACTTATTGAACAGAGTAATAAAAAGATATGGTACGTTAAGTTAGGTTAAGTTATGACCAGACAATTTGATATATAATGAAATTTAAATTGAAGTATTAATCACAGCCCGATTTGACTTGTCATCATTTATACTGCCCGGGCATTATAAATAGTGTCCTGATAAATTATTTGGTTCATAACAACCATACCGTTTGTTCACGCTACTGCATGCTTTCTATAGCTAATTCTGTGGTCAGCAAGGTTGGTTCCGGTTTTGCTCGCTTGGTGTTTTAGCATCACAGTCCCCCTAAAGGTGGACTTGCTTGCTATGGCGAAGCGGTGTGTTTCTTGGAAACCACTACGGGCGGAGGTTATCTGCTGCTATCGTAATCTTCTTCACAATGGTGATGATAAACAGTACGTGTGTTTTAATGTCCACAATGCCACTGAATGTTCAGTATATTTAGTACAAAATCTCCGGAATAACGATTTGTCTATAGTTTAATTGTAAGCGCGTGCTGCGCGTGCTCCGCGTACACCGACTGCATTCGATCAAACCGAAAGCCGAAATCCGAATAGCAAATGTCGCTGCATTGCAGAGCTACCGACAAACCGAGGTAACCGTAATGGATACCATACACGATCCAGTTTATCGTCAAGTTTGCAGCGCGCTTGAAGCGGCTTCAAGGTTGCAGTGCATCCATATAGACCACTCACGTTCAAGTTCGCCGTCAAGTTTGCATGATGCCGCATCAGTTGAAACGATGGCGTATCTCGCTTATTTGCTCCGACTACCGTCATGATAACTTTACAGCACATACACCGTCAAGTTTACCGGACGCCACTTCAAGAGCGCTGCTAACTTGACGGTAAACTGGATCGCGTATGGCATTCATAATGCCAGAACACCGTTCCGTCATCGATCGAAAATCGAAGGGCATACGAATATTTTGCCGTCTCTTACACCTAGGGGATGATAAGGGGTAGTTAGCAGTAATCTCTTTAACCGCTAATACACGGCATTTACCCAATCAAAATTTTGTATTTGGAAAGATTTTTTTTTAATTTAAATTACAACAATTTATTTGAGCTAGATCCAAGAACTCGGGAACTTGGCGGCGCGCAGCGGGCTCGCAGTGGCGGCCAACCAGCGGCTGCCACTACCACTGCGTGTCGCCCGGCACCGGCGTCCGCCTCGTGCACTCCGTGTCCAAGCAGATCACCAGCATACAGCTGTGCCGACCTGACGCCGCTCGACCTGACTTGGTAAGTCTACAACAGTCATGTAGACTGATGGTGGTAGAGCCACGCTGCAGCTATATTATGGTTATAGTACGAATCGGTCAGCTCGACCGGGGAAGGATAACGCTCTCATATAATACCAGCGTGAAATAGCAGCATAACGCTGCTGTGTTTCGTATGGTGAGTGTATCTACACTCCGGTTACGGTTCTCCGGTAAGGGTATTCGGTTAGAGAACCGGATACACTATTTACTAGAAACGAGGCATTCCATCTTAGTCCTCAGGCGTGACAGCTCGTCTGCGTTTTAATTCATTATACAATTATTCTTGATTAAGAATCAAAAGGCAACTCTCACAATCCGATGGGAAAGTAACCCAACACGATCGGAGAAAGATCAGGCGCAGGAGGCTGCTTCTCGTACTTTTCGAGGCACGATGGCGAAACACCGCCAACTTCCTGACCCCGAGCTCTTCTAAGAATTTCTTGAAAGTAAAACCCAATAACTCTGATCTTAGCCTGGTGTCGCGCTGACAACCACTAGACCAAGTACTAGCCTCTTGGTCTAAGTGCTCTTTACGAACTCCTGATCGAGCCGACCCATTCGTAATGCAGCTATCGCTAATAATAAGCTAATAATAAGGAATTTCGTTCCAGTATGCTTTTCTATCGAAAAGCATACTGGAACCAAATTCCTTATTATTCTGAAATTCCTACAGTACGAATTTGGCGGATGGAGCTAGGCGAAAAAGTGTTCGAGATGGAATCTCCCTCGCACTTTTTCGTATCTTGCTACGAAAGAAATATTATTTTAAATGACGCTTCATTTTAATATATGCCAGTAATTCATTTATTTGTATTTGTAAATAATATAATACGTTTATCATAGTCATAATATACTACAAAAGGAACTACGTTTTAACGGAGTGTTCCACGACACTCGCACATATTTTTTATTTTTATTATGTCATTTTACACAGATCAACACTTATTCATCCATATTTTTATAACAAATTCACAGCAGAATCTGAAGACTATAGACATGCCTTAATTGTTTGGAATACTTTTAAAATAAAAAACATTGAAGATTAGACGGATTTATACTTAGTGTGGTGTGATGTTGCCTTGCGATGTTTTTGAGAAATTTAGAACTATGAGTTTGCAGTCACACCAACATTGTGTTGGGATGCAATGTTATTATTCACCAAAATAAAACTAGATCTTATATCAGATATTGAAATTTATCAAATGATAGAAAAAGATATCAGAGGAGGCCTTGTTCAGGGTGTACTAGATAAAGTCAATTATTTATTTACCCTTGGTTCAGAAAATACCTTTGCCCTGAGAAGAACCGGCAAGAAATCAAGCAGAATTATATTTTTAAACATATTTAACTTTACAACCAGCATGGTAGCGATCACCACATTCCCAGGGTTATTTTCATTCATATTCAACTGCAGGTTACCTACCACGTAAATCTACTCCACAATTACACATTTTGAATTCATTTATGAGTTTTTTCTTCCAGGGCTGCTCACAAAGAAAATCGCCATATCAGTACGCGACCATGGTTTGCTCAAAGTACAAAGACAGAGTTAGAAGACTGTCGGGTCTAGGGATGCAGATATCGCCAGCGCTAGGTAAGCAAATATTTTTTTTTATCAATTGTACATGGGCAATTGTCCTGAAGCTGCGGCTAAAAGAACCCACTATCCTAAATCGTCACGTGGGTGTCGTAACAGGCTACAGAGGGAAATTGAAACAGGAGATGGGCAGCAGCATCTTCCTGATAACAACGCAAAATAATAAGAACTGCGGTTACCAACCCACCTGCTAAGTCTGACATCTATGGCAAATATCCTCCCTGATGCAATTTATGGAAGAAGCATAAGTAAGTAAAACTAGGCATGCAGATATCACCAATTTCAAAAAAGATTCAGTCTTGCTTTGAAGACATTCAGATTGTCATCGGATGGAAGAACAGAACCTGCAAGTTATTTCCCTATACTGAATGACATAATGACAGGACCACAGCAAATTATTGCATACTTAAGAAGAGCTCATTAACTTTTCAGAGGATCCAGACCGGCCGTGTCGCATAGCGTGTCAAGACGAAAGGGTGGCGCATCGTTTCTACTTGGTGAACGGACAGGAGGGATGGTTTCCACTGGGTACTTCGTGTGGGAAGCGGAACGCCTCTTACTGCGTCAGCGGGAAATGTCTGGTAATTTAGTCAAACTATATAAAATTGCTTCATAACCCTGGTGGGATACGTAACCCTGGTGTATACGTATAGACCATAACTTTACTTTTTAAATTTACTTTGCGTTTTAATATTGATATTGTGTAATATGAGTATATTAGTTATGTTTAAGGGGAAAACATGTTATGGTGAAAAGTGGATGTTAGGTGTCTGTAAATAAGTAAACAAATACTTTATATACGCATAGGACAAGTAAAATAACAGTTAAGGTACAGCCTAAATCCACCACAAGTATATACTTATAGCTAGGTACAGACATCACCATACTAACAGGTTTCATCATCATTATCTTCATTGCATTCACAAGTCCACTGCTAAACATGGGTCTCCCTAAAGAACGCCAAAAAGCACAGTCATACGTGGTAGAGCCATGCTGCAGCTATATCAGTAGTATTTGTATCACGAATTGGAATCGTCTCGACCGGGGTAGGACCACGTTCTCACAGAATACCAGCGTAAAATAGCAGCTTAACACTGCTGTGTTTCGTATGGTGAGTGTAGAGTACTGGAAACCCTTTTTACTGGAAAAAGAGGCATTCCATCTTAGTCCTCACGGGTGACAACGCATCTGCAATTTGATTCCCAAGCGAGGATAGATGTAGATGTCTACGGGCCACAACAACCACTTACCATCAGGTGGACTGTGTGCTCGTTTGTCATCCTATCCTATAAAAAAAACGGTCCTGAGTCCATCGACTTCTTGCATCTCGTACCGACTCGTCTCTCCATCTAGTGGGGGGTCGTATGTAAAATACACAAGTGTTGTTAGTTAAACGACAGAATAAATAATAGCACAAGAACAGAAGGATCACTCTCTGATAACAACTTTGCGAAGTTAAACCTAGTAACAACGTCGCTAATGTTCATAATACTTTGCACGCCTCGGACACGACCTTCGTCAAATTAACCTACCGATTAAATCGACGAAAAAAAAACTCTTTCACTCAAAATACTCAGCCCGTTACGCGACTTTGTTAAGGCCGCAGCTACTGTAGGGTTAGGTATTATGAGAAAACAAATTGAATCCTTTGATATTAGTTGGTAAAGTCCGGTCGCCCAACACGAAGAATTTCATTCAAGGACTCGTCATTACATGTCCATACGTGAAGACTAGTTCTTTGTTTCGCGAACGTTCTTTTCGACAATTTAATACGGATTTTGTTTAATGTGACTAAGAAAACGCTGTCTTGTCTATGTAAGCACTTTGTTAACGTGATTTGTGGTTTATTTCAGTTATGCATGTAACTTATTTCGTATTTGCCAAAAAACCGTAAATAAAAATACAACTGCATAGCCTCAGATGAAGTAAAAAAGGTAGATATCGCACGTAGAATAAGAAACTGTAACCAATTTTATAACTTTGTGTGAGTCAGAGTAGTGTTGTCACTTTTTAAAAAAAAGTCCCTGAAAATTGAGAAACGATACTATAAATATAAGAGTAATATGCGATGCGAATGCGAATGTAAATCTGTCTGTTTCAATAAATTTCAACAATTTGATAATTTAAAAACAGATGATGAACGTAGGAAGCCTCTGTAGATAATTTAAAAGTCTTCTTGATAGATCGTCCAATGAGCATGTAAGCATCGAGAAAAAAATACAACATATGTGATGTAAAACATATTTATTATAAAAAAAAAATGCTTAATACTAAAAATAAATCTACTATCGCCATGTTTTCACTTAATCAATTATATCTAATATAATAATTAATAATTAAATCTGTGTCAATGAAATTTTGAGTTTTTAAGTAATTGATAATTTGTTCGAGGGTCGAGTTCCTGTTTTTGAGGCGTCTGACTCTTTATTGATAGCATTGGAAGGCGGAAATAGTTTCTGCAATAGAAATAAAACTGTCGAAGAATCTAAATACATAATTATAAACAAGTAGTTAATAACGAAAGATATACTGTATACTGCAAAAATCGCAAACACACATAATTATTATATAACATATACAAGAAGAAAAAAGGAACCACTTGTTTATTTGAAGTCGGTTAAAATTACCTGTTCCTGTATCCTGTTCTGGGAACTCGGCGAAGTCCACGTTTTGTGTCGTTCAAGTCAGTTTTATCAAAATGGTCTGAACAAACAACACTAGATGAGGATGGCTACCATTGTAGTTCATTTCGGCTTAGTCTTATAGCAGCTACCCATTCATCTCTTATTAAAATATTCGTTGGAAGCCTAAAATCATAAATAGTTTTTGATAATAAAATAATTCTAAGTACTCAAGAATTTAAAAAAAAACATCAGCGAGTTAAAAAAATTAATATTTACCTTGACTTGAATTTGATGTTACGTAATAACACGTAATTAAAAAAATATGTTGACTACATATACTTCTATGACTTTAAATTAATTACCCAAATCTTGGACTATTAGAAATAAGAAAAACTGGCAACATTCTCCCGTTACGTAATCTCGGAATTGTGCTTCAAATAACCTTTAAAATTGTGTTGGAATGACAAAATAAAATATATTTAAACGAGTGCTCATGTGTGAAACGATATTCCTTCAGACTTTTTGTTCACTTTAGTATTGTTTTTGCACCATTTAATTACAAATGGTGGCATTTTGTAGGCAAATTTACGGCACGACGCCCCGAGAGGTACTGACGAAAATGAGCGTAGTTTGATGCATGTGTGTGCGTGAACGCGTGTGTTTACTTAAAGGAGCGGAGTTTTTTGGCTTCACCAATAACAAAGGCCGCGCAGTATCTACCTTTTTTTACTTCATCTGAGTTGTGCACAAATAGTTTCGCTTGTCTGGAGAAGGACCACGCTCTCATGGAATACCAGCGTAAAATAGCAGCCTAATGCTATCTTATTTCGAATGATGAGTATAGAGAACCGGAGACACATGTTACTGGAAACGAGACATTCAATCTTAAACCTCAGAGGTGACAATGACACAGATGTTTATGGGCCACAAGGCCACAGCATCGGTTTACCATTAGATGGACTACGTGCTCGTTTGTAACCCTTATACTATAAAAAAAATTGTTGCAGGAATTCGGTCCCGATGATACTCCGCTCTCGGAGACTGTGTTCACTCTGCCCCTACTGCGGCGCGACGTGTCGCACAGCGTGTCGCGACACTCCTCGCGACACCGCCGATCGCTCTACCGCGACAGACTCACAGTCAAAGCTGCGCTGGACAGACAGCATCTTGACCAAATCATCGCAACATTAAATTTCACTGGTGAGATTTTATATACCTTTTTGGAACTTTTATAGGTTCGATGTTTTATGTACGTCCATCTAGATTGGCTACCGCAGCATATTGACAACCTGCAACCAATTTCAAACAAGTAAAGCTACAGATACGAGTGCATTTGCCACCTTTGAGTACTAAGATGTTATAGCCTTATAACATGTTAGCCACCAAACAACAAAGTACAAACCATGAAGCTAATACAAAGGGGAGACGGCATAAGCAACTGTGCACTGTGATTCTAAGTAGGTCCTGACGTCATCATAGTGGGCGTGGCTTTAGTTAGTATACTGTCAGCATTCGTCCTGTGCGCTCATGTGTTGAAAAAATCGCAAATCGATATATTTTCGTATTATTAAGAAGAAAAGGATGAAGTGTTGTGTTTTATTGTGTAAAAACTACTCAGATAGACGCTCTGATGTTATGGATGGCATCACATTTCATTTGTAAATAATTTTACACCTAATTTATTAAAATAGTTCTAGAAAAATCTCTTTGCGTTGGCTTTCAAATATAATTAAATATATTCGACACTAGATGGCGACACTTTGTGTCATGTGAACTAAAAATATAAAGGTCCGTAGAGCTCAGTATTGGTAAAATAAACATACGAAGGTGCTGAAATTTGTTTTGCATTCAGATATAAAGTAATTTTAATCGCAAAATGTTATTTTTATAGTTTATAATCATTATGTGAACAGGCCGTATTCTATCGTCAAGTAAACCTCATAAAGATAACAAAAAGACAGTGCCGTAATTAGAATTCAATTATTTTATTCAGTAATCCAACTTTCAATATTAAAATGAAGGAAATTGTACTTAGGCTGATTTTCACGAAATGTTTAAGTTATATTTAAGTGACATTCAATATGCAAAGAATCACTTAAATACAATTTAATGTTCTTAGATTGGCATTCAAAAAGTGCATTCGGATGTCTAATTTGGAATAAAATATTTATATTTTAATTGATTTGTAAATAAAATTATATTAATTATAATAATTTGTCTATTATTTGTTCTCCCTCAGAGATATTAAGTAGTATAACACACAGATAAATAATAGTCCAGCCGTTTCTGCGTGAAAAAATTACACATACACAGTACATACTTAGTGTGGAATAAGCTCAAGGAGACAGAAAGAACACACAAAATTTCGCCTTTATAATATTAGTGAGATAAATAGGATATTTAGTTCCAAATTAAATATCCTACTTAATATTGAACATAGAATATTTAGTTTCAAAGAGACTTTATTTTATGGATAAAATAAATATTTTTTGAAGGTTGACTTTCACGAAATGATAAACATATTTAAATTGTATTTAAGTGATTCTTTGCATACAGAATGTCAGTTAAAAATAACATAAACATTTCGTAAAAATCAGCCAAGTACAATTTCCTTCATTTTAATATTGAATGTTGGGTTACTGGGTAAAATAATTGAATTCTAATTGCGGCCCTGTCTTTTTGTAATTTTTTATGAGGTTTACTTGACAATAGATGGCGGCCTGTTCCCAAAATTATTGTGAAAACTAAAAATATTATATTGGCGATTAAAATTTCTTTGTCTGAATGTATTTGCTTCATGAGATAGACGCTCCGATGCTATGGATGGCATCACATTTCATTTGTAAGTAATTTTACACCTAATTTATTAAAATAGTTCTAGAAAAATCTCTTTGCGTCGGCTTTCAAATATAATTAAATATATTCCACACTAGATGGCGACACTTTGTGTCCTGTGAACTAAAAATATAAAGGTACGTAGAGCTCAGTAATGATAAAAAAATCATACGAAGGTGCTAAAATTTGTTTTGCATTCAGACATAAAGAAATTTTAATCGCCAAAATATTATTTTTTAGTTTATAACATTTTGTGGATATGCCGTTATCTACCGTCAAGGTAGCTAACCTACATTGCAACATTGAGATGGAAAGATTCGAGTAGTTTTACTATTTATCGGTAGATGTAGATAGTGTAGTGGGCGGGGCTTTGCATCCCCTCACCCCGCAAATTGTCACGCGTTGTTTCATAGTGAAATTGAATTACAACGTCTCCTCTTTGTATTTGCTTCATGGTACAAACTGATGTTTGTCGGCAGAATTAAGAAAGGGGGAATGTACCCAGACGGACTTCTAGGCAGAAAATGAGCCCTACCATCTAGAGAATTGAGAACCGGAGGTAGCCTAATTGGCTAAGGGGTCGAAAATTCAGAAAATCGTGGTATCGAATCCGCTATCAGACTAATGTGGTAAACTTAACTATAATATATAACCTAACTAACCTACCTTACACGAGAACTTCAAGCTTACTCGAGTGTTTTTTACAGGAGTCTTAGTAATGTAAATAGCTTTACCAGTATGCCTTTTTCTACCGACTTTAAAAGTAGGAGATACTCAATTCGAATATATGTTTTTTTTATGTGTGTTACCTCATAACTTTGTTCTGCGTGAACCGATTTCGATGATTCTTTTTTTATTTAAAAGCTGGCCGTCTTTTCAATTTGATCCAGGTCTGACCAATAGTTTTGAGTTATTCTTAACAATTTATATTGAAGTCGGTTGTACAAAATTTTAATTATTTACTTTGCTTTCTCACTCACAGTCGGGACACGGCAGTAGTAGTACACCCATACTATCAATTGGCACAATTTACTTGTTGTGACGGCAGAGTGAAGAAATAGTTCTAAAAAGCAGGATCGCGATAGATGGCATTAGTATTAGCCTCCCTTTCATACCTTTAATTTACACCCAAACAGTACAGTAATTTTCGTCGGCTTCGAAAGTCTTATACGTAGCGGCACGAGTCGTGAGCACAGCCTTGACATGCAATATAATCGATTTTTGCGCAGGTGAACTATCTTTCACGTGGTTGGTCCGTTAGTTAATCTTCCTCATTCATTGTATTCTCACGTGACATCCCGCCTGCAGTTGTATTGGTTGGAAATGTACATGCGCAAATATTGTCACTTGATGCTCATGTCATCTTTCCACAAGATCTGCCGGAGTAGGGACTTGTTGAAACGACGACGGAACTTTCAAGATTTTTCAAAAAGTGCTTTAAAAAGGTCAATTTTAAATAAAAATATTTTGATTTTAACTATGCTGCAGACCGCAATGTTTTGCGAACATATTCACTAATTTAATTGTTAGATTATTAGAGTATTTTTACCGTAACAATATGGTAAAAATATCATGGGAAATATTTTCTTGTTTTTATTTCAAATAATTTCGAAATTTGAGCAGTTTTGGAAAAAAAATTGAATGTTATTGATTTAAATTACATCAACATATGTAATTGAAAAATGCGATTAATGATTTGTATTTTGTAGAAATTTTTTTTCATAAACGTTTCCACTATACTCTTAAGATTTCACCTATGTAAATTGTCGAGGCAGGCCACATACATGAATTTCATAAAGACAAACATCCAGAATCGGAACAACAATTTGTAAGCCATACAAATACTTGTTCCGTGTAGCCCCCGGAACCGCAGTCTTATATTTGTTTTTATAATTGAGGTAACAACGTAATCCTTTCAGGTAAAAATGGCGAACACATCACATACTTCCACACAATACCGGAGAACATCGAAGTGGACTTCAACAATCCTATTCACATCGCACCAGAGGACACTCTCATAAGAAAGGTGCCTAGACCAACATGGGATTGATATTATCTTCATCGAAATGCAAAGACTAGGTGAACGAATGAAACAAGTTATCAACTTTAAACAAATTTCAAAGAACGAATGAAATGAATGATAAATCATCAGCTTCGCTCACCAATAGTGCTAAAATATAATGTTTCATTGAGAAAATTTAATTGAGCCTTTATAAATGCGTATTTTGTAAAGAACGCTTGGTGCTGACTGCAAACATTGTGATCATTTATTGTACCTATTTATTTTTATAATTGTTGTAATAATCAACGTAGTATTAAGAGATAAATTTTTATACAATATGATAATTAATGTGGTTTTTTTTTAAATATAGAATATGTGTGAAAAACGAGCACAGTCCACCTGATGATAGGTTATTGATGTGATTCATAGACACCTACACCTATCTTCGTTTAAGAATCGAAATGCAGATACGTTGTCGCTCCTGATGACTAAGATGGAATGCCTAGTTTTCAATACAAAAGCGCCTCTGGATCTCTACACTCACAATACAAAACACAGCAGCGTTAGGTTCCTATTTCACGATGGTGTTCTGTGAGCGCGTTGTCCTCGGTCGAGCCGTCCCGTGCTGCACCCATAATATAGCTCCAGCATGGCTCTACCACGTATAAAACGTTACGTTATATTGCGTAAGGAAATTAGTCCGTTACTGTTACCGATACAGCTTATTTAAGTCCACTGCTGAACAAATGCCTCCCCTATACATTGCCTCATAGGAGGAATATATAATAATGAGGAAGATGCCATAATATTTTTGCCTCCTCTATACTACTCGCGAAGTAGCTTTGACGAAGTGCTCGTCACACTCGTGCTACTTCGCGAAGAGCTCAGTCGTCTTGTGTCTCCCGCACCCTTGACATGAATGACGTTCAAGGGGCAGCTGCTATAGGTACCTAATTGTGTGAACAGTACGACGTCAATGCGTTAACTAAATAAATAATTATGTAGAAAGCTACATACATGGACCTAGAAGAAAGGGCGGACGCCGTCTCTTAAAACAATTACTGACGCACCCATGCTAAGTCATCTCGCTAATACAAACAATCCGGCACGCACACATGCACACCATAGTAAGTCTACCGCCCGCCATTACGCTCCAAACCGCGTCCGCGTAACATTGTAGTGAAAACCTGTCGAAATCATAGTGGTTCCATTAAAAAAAAAGCCAGGGGATCACTTTTCATAGGTAAGTAAGTAATTTATTCACCTTATTTTTAGTTTTTACTTTAATTTATTTCAAACTTTATTATCAAAACATTTTATTAACAAACAAAAATTATTATCAAAACACGAAACTAATCAGTGTTGCCAGTTATTAAATTTGCAAGTTACCTTAAATATAGGAGATTAATATCTTTTTGTTCACTTTGAATTGTTCCTTAATTCATTAATTTACCTCTGTATATACTTTTGGCGTCCCATGATACTAAACTACCAATATTATAAATTTTACATTTTATAGATTTCCCTCTGCAAATGATGTGTGGAAGAATGACTGGGTGCAAATAATAAGAAACTGTAGAAATGAAAACAATTGGAATACATCTAAATCTTGTGTAATCTGCAGTAAACATTTCGAGGAGAATGATTTATAGAGAACAAAAGGTGGACTTCTTCGAGTTGTTACTTACGCCATCCCAAAAAAGATAAAGAACAATGAATATCTATTTTCCTCTTACAATTATAAGCTTAACATATTAAAACGTAATTAATTTTTTAGTTTTTATTTGAGGCGTCAAGCGTTCCGGAGGAACATCTTGTTGAAGCAAATTCTTTCAGTGCTTCGCATGGGGTACGTACGTGTTAAGGAGAGAATAGTTTTTAATCGATTTGAAAAAAAAAAGGAGGTTTTCAAGTCGACTGAATGTTTTTTTTTTAAGTTACACCGACAATGTCGAAACGTTTTCGATGATTCTTTTTTAGTTGAATAGGTTATATTACAATGTTTTTCACCGATATGTATTTCTTTTCTTTTAGAAAAGAAATACATCATAAAAGGGATGTATTGCTTTTCTTTTAGAAAATAAATACATCCTTTTTGTTGTACTTGCGAGATGGTGTTCCGAAAGCATTTAAGAGATAATATAACTATATATATATATATATACTGAAAGACAACATCAGTACAAGCTTAAAAATTCTGGAAAAATATATAGCTAACGACAGGGTTTTTTTAAATTTAAAACTTGACCATGCGTTTGCTGGAGTAAAACATAAAATAGCTCTCATTGAATATATAGTCGAAAAATATCCGAATATTCGTTTTCACCATATAGCTAAATTGAAGGAGATTTCTAAATCTTTTGACAGTAAAAGACAATATTATAAAAAATTAACCCAACAAAAGGGACTCTAAAAAACCGTTAATAAATGTAAATTAATTATAATATTAATAAATATTCATAATTAATATTTTTATATTCAATGTGTTTTATTACAATTTTGTTTTATTAAACTTAAAGTCCTGGTTCCGAGGACGGTGACGAATGTCTTAAATCTAATTGAATTATTTTGCGTTTAAAAATGGGTAATTTTTCTCCATCTTGCAACCCTCTACACGCTTACACATAGTTACGCTGCCGTCATTGCGACGCTTCAATTGTTTGTTAGCGAGACTCTTTCCGCCCTTTTTTCTAGGTCCTTGGCTACATATTTAATATTTATATATAAAAAAGTATTCATAACTGGCGAAAGCAGAGTAGTGTAGAGAGACGCTTCGTGTAACTTCGGGGTACTTCGCGAAGTCCTTTGACTCTGGCGCAAAAAACCGACAGCGATCGGAAGTTGCCCGAGGCGAAGCAAGGTTGCACAAATCGAATCGAAGTACCTCTCTACACTATTCGCCTCGTCCAACTTCGATCTACTTAGCGAGTAGTGTAGAGGATGCATTTAACTTTAGTCGATGCTGCGAGATGATAGAAGCGACAATCATGATTAAACGTGCGGAGAGCAAACCGTAAAGTCGTGGGTCTGAATCTACCATTCTACCACTAACGTGGACCGCGCCTACCATAAGCATTTTGAACTTACTTGGTAGGGGTTAACGGAGTATTAGTTACGTTAATAGCAATACAAGTTTATTTAAAAAAAAGTTCATACGTATATCGAAGATATTCATCTGTGGGCTTATCTGCGCAAATTCTTTTTTAACCAATTAAACAATGTATGTATCAAAACCATTGTAATAATTAGTAACATATTTTACAATTCTTGTAAAAAATAAACACTACACTATCACATATAGTTTCTCGACTGCACAGACTTCATAACCGACAATAACTTTGCCTGATCTGTCAGGAACCATTGCCAGATTTTTCTAAGATTCTTCTTATCGCCATTCTGAAAAAATAATGTATAAAGCCCGTGTTACAATAACAAACCTTTAAATGTCCAATGTGGACCCGCCCTCACAATTTCGACTGCAAAGTAAAACAAAGTATACTAAAACAACCAGTAATGAGATAAAGGCGCTGCGCAAACGTGGACACTTCTTGTTACCGACACGGAACACCATCACAGGAAACCGTAGTTGCTGTGTCCGATAGCGGCAATCGGACACAGTCTCCAGTTGCTACATCTAGTAACAATTCGTTACTTGTTTTCCGTTAGTTTCACGATGGATGTCGTTGAAGAAACATTACCTTTGCTTGTTGTGCTGATCACACGTTGACGTAGACGTCGTCGCTGTCAATATTTTCATGCAAATCAACCACGTCAATGTCAGCGCCGTACAATTGTAAGGAAATTTGCTTTGTGTTTCTTGTGTCTTCAACTGACGACTTAAAGTTTTCAGTTACCTACACCGAACATCTTTTGATTGCCAATCGGTAGGAGTCAAGTGGAAGCAACTGGACACAAAAAGTGTTTACGTCTGCGCAAGGAATAGCTGATTTCATATTGATTACATGAAAATAATATATTCACTGGTAGCTGGTTGCCCATACAAGACACAAAAATGTCTACGTTTGCGCAACGCCGAAGTGTCAAAGGCAATCAATCGTGAATTGAGAAAAGTCTACCGCACTGCTCCAGTGCGAGTTTAAGGAATTCTGAATATTTTATTCCTTAGATATGTAGGTATTGCGAATAGTGGCGGCGTAATCCACTACCCCATATTATCCCGTGGGTGTCGTAACAGGTGACAGAGGGAAAATGAACTAGGGATGGCAGATCAGCAGCACCTTCAGTAGATAACAGCTGAATAAAAATATTAAACTGCGATTTCTAACGACGAGTGCCAACTATAGCAAATTTACGGGGGCAGTGAAACCTTCCGGGGCCCTTTTGAGGCAACCTATGTGGGAGGCCTATGTTCAGCAGTGAACTTTTCATAGGCTGTTAGGTTTTACGAAATTTTGTTTCACTGTCAACCACACATTAGAGTAGATTAGAAAATACAGTTTGCTCAATTCGGCTCAGGTATTTGCCTAAGCTACATGTATGGGAAAAATCGAATGAAATCATCAGTCACCACTAATGCCAGTGCTGATGAAATTAACTGCAGTTTCAGGTATTTATTTTTTTGGCTTTGCAACCAAACTGTCTTTCCTGCTTGAAGGAGAAAGTTTTATTCGATTTCTTCTTTTCTTACCGCCTTATCCAACTAACTCGCGCATAAAGTAAATTCTATGTATTATGTGAAGAGAATTTAAAACGTTGGAATTTCTTTCATTTGTGAAACTACACCAACCTGATAGAATTTGAAAGAAAAGCAAAATAGCCACGCTGAGACGCTTATATTTAGTTCAATATATATACATGCATAGCGTCACGCCTGTTATCTCCGACACGTTTGAGGCAGAGTCCAAAGCAAGCTACTTGGACCACATTTAGCCAAAAAATATGGCTTGAGATGGAAAATTGTAAAAGAAGAGATAGGTGGCTAGTTTATCGCCTTTGCCTTGCATAACATGTAACACTGTTGGCACATTATTTTTATTATAAGTTCTAAATAACCATGGGACCTAAAGGCCCACACCAACATGGAACAAAGTACAATGATCCCACTAATATTATAAATGTGAAAGTTTGTGAGAAAGTATGAATGTTTCTTACTCTTTCACGCAAAAACTACTGAATGGATTTTAATGAAACTACAATAATATATCTCATACACTAGAATAACACATAAGCTACAATTCAAAAACATATTGTGTAAATTGGCCAAAACATAACGATAAATGTTAAGTAAATCTGAAAAAAATCTGTCATCTGCGAGCTATTGTGGCGTGACGTGCAAAAAATTTGATACTTTATTTCCATTGCACATTTTGCAGTAACAATTTGATTTTTATCAGAATAAATACTTTTATCGCTTTTAATATTCAAAGTAGATAAACTTTGTCTTTTAAACTACGTAATTTAGAAAGCAGGCGTTATAAGGAGTAACTTAGGCTACTTTTAATTTAGTGTTCCGCGTTAAAAAATTCCACGCCGGCGACGTCGCGGGGAATAGCTAGTAACCCATATAATATGTTAAGAATATTGGTAAATTTTCAACAGTTTTACTTTTTATATAGAATTATTAGAATAATTGAAAAAAAGAACTAACCTTGACAGATGTAAACTGTCCGCTTGCATCCAACACCTTCCTATCCACCTTTTCCATCTCTTGTCTGAGTGTGTGCATCATAGAGGCCAAAGTTCTGTCATAGCAATTTGGTTGTTTGGTGCAGCCATCCCAAATATAATCTTTCAGAGGTTTGCTCGATTGTTTACTGGAAGAAGGAAAAATAACAGTTATTACAAATTGATATGGCTTATTTTCTATTTAAGAGTACTTCTTACGTAAGTTACCCCTCTTGTACTACACCCTCTGTTGTATTGGTTTCAGAGAGGCAGTATAACGAAGGAACTCTTCTATTCTCTTAGTATTATAATAATTACTTCGTCATGTAATTTTCAATCTGTGCATAGATCACTTTTTTTTTATAGGAGAGGGGGCAAACGAGCATGCGGCTCACCTGGTGGTAAGTGACTACCGCCGCCCATGAACAACCGCAACATCAGGGGAATTGCAGAAGCGTTGCCGGCCTTTAAAACTTAGCCAGAAAGTCTGCCTGGGTAGGTTAGGTTACCACCCCTCTTATCTATTTCTGCTATCATTTACTAGATGGTAGGACTCCGTTTTAGCCTAGGAGTACCGTCCGGCTATCCATACGGACTCCTAGGCATTGAGTTATATGTACTACGTACTAGAGAAGCTATTCCAAACAAAAAATGTGCGCTACTCTGTCTTCGCGCATGCGCGGGAGATATAGTAAAATATTACGGTATTATTACCTATATATTAACTTGAACAACAAAAATAATTTTAGTTACTAGACTACTGAATTGTTATTTACGTCCAGGTTTAAACTTTAATTTGAAATCTCGTATTATTAGCGCCCGCTCCACACTGCATGACTATTGAAGACACACTAAATGACACTAAAGTAAGGTGTACGGATTGCAGTACAGTTCAGTTGAACACAGTGAATGTTCGGAATGCGAAGTCTAGTGCGTAGTACATATGTATCGATGTTAATAGGTAACTACATAGGTACCACCCCTCTACCTATTTTTAGCGCCAAAAATCAGTGCTTGCATTGCCGCGTTCTGGTCAGAAGCGTATAGAGCCAGTATAATTGCACGCTGTGAGGCATTCCATCTTAGTCTTCAACTGCAGGTATCCATGAACTGCAGTAGGTGGGCTGTAACTTCGTTTGTCACTTCAGTTTTATATAATATATAAAAACCTTTCCAGCTTAAGATTTGATTGCAGCAGAATGACAATAATTTACACGGGGTTATTTTGCAATAACCGGCCAAATTTGCATAGAAGGTTCCGACTAAGTAATATAGGCTAATGCTGAAGAAAAATTAATTAAAACAAAATCTCAAACATTCTGTCCTTTTTATCTTTTAAACTCGAAATGCGTGGCAATGCACTATTTTAACTGATTTTACTGCGTACGCATACATACGTAAAGGTCGATCGGTAGGCAAAAACGTTGTTGCCCATAAATCACATTCAATTTGGGATAAAAAAAAGTAGAAGCCTTATTTACTCGTGTTTTCAAAGCCTGCAATAACGGTATATCATTATTTATATAGTTGAACTTAAGTTTAAAATTTGGCTACTCTTTGAAAAACAACCCTGTATATTAGGCACAAAAAAAAAATTACATTCTTACAAACTATATGACGAATGCTATAGGTCCGTCTAATGTAACATTATTTAGAGGGTTATAGCAATAAAGAATAAATAAGTAAATATTACAAAACACCAACATAAAATATCAGCATAATACTGATGTGTGTTGTATAGTGAGTGAAAACCACAGAAAACCCTTTTCAGAATTTCTCTTAAACATATCTTAAGACATTCTATTTTATATTAGACATCAGAAATGATAATGCATCTACATTTTGAGTCTTAACAAATGATTACAGCATGGCTACAGCATCCACTATCAGGTGAACTATGTGCTTATTTACCGTTACTAAAACAGAAGATTTCTAACTTACTATGTAACTAAAGCCATCTCTTTCTTATTTAAACCGTCAGCCACATTGTCGTTTAGTTCTCGAATCCTGTTCTGCAATTCAGATTGAAGCCTTACAAGCAATGTAGCATCATCACTTGACTCTACACCGAATATTGAATACAAAGTATTCTGTAATACGTCTGATGTTTGCAGTTTCTGTTCCGCTAAAGCTTGCTCAGCACAGATCTCATTCATTGACTCCTGTAACATTACAACCATTAATCGTCATCATGATATAGTAAAGGTTCTGTTTGTATCTATTATAATAAATTAAAATGCACTAAGAGAGTCTAAATTTTGTGCCTAGTTTTAATGTTCCTGTGGAATATTAAAAACAGGAGGAGGCACAAAGTGGACGTCACAAATAGGCGTAGTAATGCCTAATTGACTGTTAGTCGCAGGGCTTCCATTGTCACGAGCTGACGTGTCCGTGCTTCATAAATATTATATTATACCATATTATAAAACATTGGAATTTAAAAATGAATATACATATGGATGACGGAAATACGAGGGCGGCACTGAAAATTTCGGGTGTGACACAACACTATTTAAAAATGTATTTATTGCTTTTCGAAGTATTCTCCGCGAAATTTGATATATTTTTCCATACGATGGAACCAATCATTGAAGCAACCATTCCATTTGGAAGTTGGGGTCTCCAAAATGGCCGTTTTGTAGGCGTCCACAGCTTCTTCAGGTGATGAAAATCTCTGTCCACGCAATTTATTCTTTATTTTAGGGAAAGTATAGAAATCATTAGGGCTTAGGTCGGGGCTGTACGACGGATGGTCTAATAATTCTATGTTTTCTTGCTCTAAAAACTCTTTTGTTCTGTGTGCGGTGTGAGAACTCGCATTGTCGTGATGGAGGATGATGAGGCGGTTGCAGTTCTCTTTACGGAGTTCAGAAACGACCTGTGGCAAACAAATGCTAGCATACCATTCTGCATTAACCGTTCTTTGTCCCTTAAGAGGAATAGTCGTAACATGGCCGGTTTTGGAGACAAACGTGGCCACCGTTTTTTTTTGCAACACTCCGTGAACGAACAATTTTTGTTGGCTTTAACTCATTTTCGAACACCCAAACTCGTGACTGGTTTTTTGTTTCGCGTATATCCAGGATTCGTCACCTGATACGATGTTATATACAGCATTTGAGGATCCTGCGTGGAATCTTTCGAGAGTTCTGACGCACCAAGTAACGCGAGTCGCTTTTTGCTCTTCACAGAGCGAATGCGGTATTCATCGGGAAAACACCTTTTTTACACCTAATTGTTCATGCAAGATTATTTGTATTTGACTCATGCCAATGTCTAAAGTTGCCTGAATTTCGCGGTATGTCACATATCGATCTTCCTCAATCAGCTTACGCACAGCATCAACATTTTCTTGGGTGACTGCAGTTTTTGGACGACCTTGACGTGGATCATCACTGAGCTTGACACGTCCACGTTGAAATTCAGCAAACCAGCGATAAATTGTGGTTTTGGATGGGGCTTCATCACCAAATGCAGAAATCATCCGGTCAACACACTGTTTTTGTGTTAAACCACTTCGAAAGTCATAATAAATCATCGCTCTTGAATTTTCTCGAGTCAATTCCATTTTCTCAACGACTAAACAAGTTTGACAAAACCTTGTGACAAGACCGAGAATCTTTTTTTAAATAAATAAATGGTATTCGATTTTTAAAACCAAGGAGTTTTCAATTAAAAAGATTTTAATATGACAGGAACAGTGGAAATATTCCATTCCCGATACTTTTAGTGCAGCCTATGTATTCTTAGTGCGTTAATGAAATCACGAATGAATTTTGTATAGTTACTAATCAGCAAGAATTGGCAATGGGTTGGCCACATAGCTCAAAGAACCAACGACCGATGGGGAAGAAAGGTTTTCGAGGGGCAACCTTGTACCAGCATTAAAACAAGTGTTGGGGCGCTAGCCACAAGTTATAGTGACTACCTGGTAAGAAAAGTAGGAAGTTAATGAATGCAGGTAACCCAGGACCATGCTTTGTAGCATTACTTAGTGGCATAACATAGGCCTCCCCCATAGATTACATCATAGGGGAAATATTTGGAGTATTTGCTTCCTTGGCAAGTAGATTATTATTTTGAGTTGTATAGGAAGATGATGGCGTCCATTAAATGTTTCATTTCCCTCTATCAACTCTTACAACGCCCACTTTTAATAAAAATTAAAAATCGGTCGGTATCGGTAGGTCAGGTCAAATTCGTAGAAGGTATATGCTAGTGGTTGTCACGAAAATGGAACTAAAATAATTTTGTATATTATATTACTCATTATCAACATCATGTACCTACATATTTATGAAGTTAAAAACATTTATCGAACAAGATCATTTTTTATTACTACAAGAAAGAACACATTTACAAGTGTGGCACTGCCAAATATTTTACGTGACACTTTCTTTTTACCTTTTATAGAAGTTTTCAGTTTTAGATTGTTAAATTTAATTTTATAAACAATTTTATTTAAAAAAAAAAATGAGGGAATCATAAGCGCGGGCGTCGTTTGAATTCAATTTTACTTAGTAACTCATATAATAATGACAGTAACTCACCATTATATTATATTTTTCAAAAACTGCACTTAAAATTAGTTAAATAAGTACTATAAAACACGCTCGCGCTAACCGTAATGTATTGTCTATCAGACTCAGTGAAGTGCGCTAGCACAAGGTAGGCTCGCCCCCTGCCCCGTAGGATCCCCTCCGTTTCTCTGCGCAAGTACATTCCTTTCCCAACTGTAAGGTCTTTAAACTGTGATTGCGCTCAACAATATTTTTGTCAGCTTTTGAATAAAAAGATAATGATCTCTATTTGTACGAGCTTAAGATGCATTTTCGAACTGATGGCGACATACAATCTAAATAATGATTTATACTTACAATTCTACTGCATACAGCTTCATTTTCACTCATCACATATTGGCGTAGATGTGACGCAAAGTGAAGTAGTTCCTCAATGGATCGAAGTTCGTTCCTCAAAGCACAATATAGAAGTTTATCAAGTGCCAAGGCTTGATGTGTTGTCTCTAGCAAGAATGCCAAATCGTTATGGACCTTTCTGTAAAAACCCGATAAAGATATTTTTAAAAGAGACGACAATGTCTTATACTATTTCATTAGAAACCTACATATTTTTTGAAATGTAAACTTCTTTAGCCGCGTTGAGTCATTTTTGGTACGAGAAAAACTTAAGGGTTTGCGTCACCGATGACCTCTACATGCTCGTCGTCGCTAGTATAGCAGCCTTTGTACATGTATACGCATATATCATTAAGTTTGCACTTCTGTCGGGAGTCTTAATGATTGCTTCTGTTTTTTTTTTCCTATATATTTAATCCCATATAGTTGATAATTTAACTATAATATGTAAATTTGCAAGAGGCAGTGAAATAGCGTCAAAATAAATAGCAATGAAATAGTCAATTGCAATTCTAAGTGCTAAATCTGAACGCACATATTTGTCCGCACCCTACGCGCCGAATTTTAGAATTCGTTCTATGAAATCATATGAAACCTCGCATATTACACCCGCACCGTACGCACCGAATTTTACAAAATGTGGTAGGTATCCGAATATTGAACGACGCATGCTGATGACGTCATATAACACGGCGCGATCGGCGCGAGCTGATACTCAGTGTTGTCTAATGTTGCCAACTTAGTGGATTTTCCACTATAACTGGTGGTTTCGACTTACGTGATAATTTTTGTATTTTTATAACTTTTAATTATTATATTTTTTGCATCTATTAGATCAATATGAATACTTAGTGATAAATTATTTAAATAATGAATTTAAAAAAAAACTACAAAGGTTGTTAGTAATACAAACGGTTTGGGTACACGGCGCGAACGGTGCGTACGTGCAAATGTGCGAGGCCATCAGTAAAACTCGGCGCGTATGACGTGTACGGTGCCGACAAATGTGCGTTCATCTTAAGATGGAATGTCCTATTTCTAGTAAAAAATGTCTCCAACACTCAACTATGAAATACCAACATTGAGCGGCTATTACGCTGGTATTCTATGAGAGCGGACCCAATCGTGCTACAACCATTATATAGCTGCAGCATGGCTCTACCACGTAAATTTATGTACGCGTGGTAACAATATTATACTCACTCTCTAATATTTAGCGCCGCCCGCGCTGCAGTTTCCACCGCGAGGTTGGTACGCGAAGATACAAAATGCCTCACTGCATCCTGTAGCTGTTGGTCCAAAATACTTTCTTCCTGGTCTAAGATTTCCACTGCACTTTGAGCTTCCATTGAACATACACTGAAATTATAATAGAATAGAATAATTTTTATACAATATAGATTATTACATAATACTTATTGAAAGTCATTTTTTTATTTACCTCTACACTCTACGTATATATTATAGAATACGTCTCCGGTTCTCTACACTCACCATACGAAACACAGCAGCGTTAAGCTGCTATTTTACGCTGGTACTCTGTGAGAGCGTGGTCCTTCCCCGGTCGAGCCGACCAATTCGTGCTACAACTATACTACTAATATAGTTGCAGCATGGCTCTACCACGTCAAAAAACAAGTTTTTTTTTTTGTTCGTACAACTTTTAAATGAGTTTTAATAGAACCAGCATAGTGGTGATCACCTCATTCCCAGGGGTTATTTTCACTTATGTATTCTTTGATATTATAATAACCCTTTTTGTACAATTTTTCTTTAATAAAACTTAAACTTATTTATTAACAAATTTTGTACATTTTCTGGGATTTTGTTGTAAAAGCGTACACATTGCCGTACGTATAAAAAACAATTTCCTTAAATCAGGGTTTACTTGTTAGCGCAGTGTTTGTCGTGTTATAATATCATTGTTGTATTAAACATTATCTCAAAGCATCAACAATCGGTGTATTTGAAAGTGGTTGGAAAACCGGTATTTGAAGTCCTTCAGAAGCCTCTTAATTCTGTCCTCCATGGTGGCACTACTGCGGAGGCGTGGAGCAGAAATGCGGTGGTCTTGTTCTTCAAGAAAGGCGACAACGCTCTCTTGAAGAATTACAGACCGATTTCCCTTCTGAGCCGCGTCTACGTGCAGTTTTCAAGTCATTACAAATCGTCTCGCACGCAGATTCGTCGACTTCCAGCCTTCCGAACAAGCTGGTTTCCGAAAGGCTTTAGCACCATAGACCACATACATACCACACAACACACAGAAGAACGAGTACAACCTAAAGCTTTTGGGCGGTGCTGCAGTCCCTTCAGCGGTGCCAAATTGACTGTCGGTATATCGAAGTTCTTATGTGTTTGTACAGCTGCGAAGGCTATCCGAGTACAGAACCAGAGTACGAAACCTATCCAATCGCAGAGAGGTGTAAGACAGGGTGACGTTATATCCCCGAAACTCTTCACCGCTGCATTGGAAGACGTTTTCAAGCTACTGGATTTGAAAGGATACGGTATTAACATCAACGGCGAGTATATCACTCACCTTCGATTTGCCGACGATCCTTATGGCAGAATCGCTGGAGGACCTATGACCTCAATAGTGCCTCCCAACAGATAGGTCTTAAGGTGACATAGGCAAAACAAAGATCATGTGTAATCACACCTATGCCGGTAGTTGTTGGGAGCACTAAGCTCGAAGTTGTTGATGAGTATGTTTAACTGGGACAAATAGTATAGCCTAGGTAAGTCCAACTTCGTCCGAGAGGTCAATCGACGGGTTCATCTTGGCTGGGCAGCTTTCGGGAGTTTACGACACATATTCTCGTCAGTATTATATTCAAAACTTGCAAACGAGATTATACAATCAGTGCATGTTGCCAGTGATGTCTTATGGATTAGAGACGTGGTCCTTTACTGTTGGCCGTATGTGGAAGCTCAAGGTCGCTCGCTATGGAGAGGACTATGCTCGGGGTTTCTCTACGTGATAAACTTATGATGTAGATGTCTATGGGCCACAGCTACCTCTTACCAGGTAGTAGTCCAGGCAGGTGGACTGTGTGCTTGTTTGTCATCCTTATCCTAAAAAAAAAATATCTGCAGTAGAACCAGAGTAACCGACATAGCCCAACGGATTAGTAAGCTGAAGTGGCAACAGGCGGGCCATATTAGCTTGAAGAACCGACAACCGATGGAGAAGCAAGGTTTTCGAGTAGCAGCATCGTACCGGTAGCCGCATTGTGGGGCGGAATCCCACTAGATGGAGTGACGACCTGGTAAAACATGCAGGTGGCTCAGGACCGTGCTTTGTGGCTATCTTTGGGAGAGGCCTATGTTGAGATCATACATATAATACATAAAATTGAAGTGTCGGTCTGTAACATCGAAATAATTGAGCTAACGGGTTGGTTATTTGCATGCATTAAGACTTGAGTAATCATATTTAAATATTTTCTCTGTCTGTCCAAACATATCTTTGAAATGGCTAAACCGTTTATATTGAAACTTCATAAACAGATAGAGTACAATGCTAGGAGTAATCTAGGTCATTTTAGCCGAGAACTTACTTTTTTAAAAACGAAAAATGAAATAAATGGTCTTTGATGATTATCTTAAATGTAAATAACGCCACATTAATAAAGCGGGTCGCTAGTAATAAATAAAATTGGAACTCACGTTATTTGACTAGGGTGTACATTATTGTAGTTAGCAACAAGGACTAGTTTTGCCTGCTCGCCGCATAATTCCGCTTTCGTCGAGATGTATGCGCACACCGCATCTGACAATCTGAAAAATTATAAATAAATTTTAAAAAGAAAACCAACCAGTTAATGGGGTTGCTAAAAACTAATTTGCTTAATTCCGCGTAAAGAAAGAAAATGTTGTGTCCTGCCCAGTTTTAAGGGGACCTCCCACCCCTTAAAACTGGGCAGGACACATAATTTTCTTTCTTTACGCGGAATTAAGCAAATTAGTTTATAACAACCCCATTATAATGATTTTCGCAAAGTAACGCCTGATTCTATCAATTAACCAACCAGTTGTTAACATAATTTAAAATTAAAAATTTTGTACAGCCGACTTCAATATAAGTTATTAATAATACTCAAAAACTATTGGTCTGACCTAGATCAAAATATTCATATCGGACCACACGAGAAGTACCAGCTTTAAAATAAAAAAAGAATCATCGAAATCGGTTCACACAGTAAAAAGTTATGAGGTAACACACATAACCCTCTCCTTTTTGGAAGTCGGCAGAAAATATATATTCTTACTATTTTATAGCCACACAACGTTAGGTGGCAGTACAACTTACTATAGAGATTTAAAGAATAGAGCCTAAATATAGATACTTGTAGGAAATGTCATAATAGGGATTTTGTAAATCCTATTTAGCAGTAACTAACAATACAAAATATTAGCAAGATGGTGCTATTGCCACTACGATGTTGCCGAGTGGTGGCGGCTTCCGGAACTCCAATACCCATACCCATTAATCCATTAATCTCATTAAAAGGCGTCTATGGGAACTGCTAGAAAAATCATGTAGCGTCTGATAAATGGCGGTATACCATCTCGTTTACGCTACACGTATATCCAGACCGGCTTCGGGCACCAGCATCAAAACAGCGAGACGTCTGATACTGCCATTGTCAATCCGCCTGCCAAGCTTGACTACTAAGGGCATTCCTCCTTACCAGAGGAGAAGCCCATATCTGGAAATGCATTTATATGGGCTGATGAAGAAGGATTCTATATGTGGTAGAGCCATGCTGCAGCTATATTAATAGTATAGTTGTAGCACGAATGGGTCGGCTCGACCGAGAAAGGACCATGCTCTCACAGAATACAAGTGTAAAATAGCAGCTCAATGCTACTGAGTTTCGTATGGTGAGTGTAGAGAACTGGAGACCCTTTTTACCGGAAAACAGGCATTCTATCTTAGTCCTCACGACTGACAACGCATCTGCATTTTAATTCGCAAACCAAGATAGATGTAGATGTCTATGGGCCACAGCAACCACTTACCATCAGGTGGACTGTGTGCTCGTTTGTCACCCTTATTCTATAAAAAAGGAGACTCATGTTAAGAGAAAAATTAAATAAACATACAGTGCAGAACTCTCATATCTGAGAAGTGTATGTGAAGTCTGCAAATGCGCTCTACTCCAAAGTGTATTTGCAGACGTCACATTTTCTAATAATTCTTCATTTCTGAGAAATAGCTTACTTACAGAGTTTTCTTTCACTACAATTATTTATGTCATTAAAAATTACCTATTCGTCTTTCTTTTACCCATTTAGAAACCAACCAACCTTTCCTCCATATTCTTAGCTTCGGTCAACGCCGTTCGTATGTCTTGGTCCGTTATTTTGTCATTCTGTTTGTTGCTAAATCTTTTAGAGACGTATAGGTCAAAGTGAGACAAGAATAGAGCCTGAGACTGCCTGTATGCCTCAAAGGGACCAAATGTGAAGAACTTGCTAGCAATTTCCTGAAATAATAATTACATTTAAATTATAATATTGTACTGTTTGTTCATTGCGGTGACTTAAAGAATCCGTAGTCTTGATTGATAGTTGTCATAAGAAGCCTCTTTTCATTTTAGGGATTTATTACCATATTAAAAAGTCATGTTATAATTAGACTCAGGGGATTTGTAAAACTATTTTCGTGTGGTAATTATTCCATCATTTAAAGAAATCCATTATCACATCTCATCACAGGTGTCGTAAAGGAGCGAATTAAAGAAATACTCAGAAGAAATTTTAGGCCCTTATATATATTGTACATAATGCATCATCTGCTACTGCAGTAACTAATACAATTGACAAACTTAGCAGTAACGGTAAATCTTCCCAACTATATGAAAGGCCCATAACCATTAGTTGCATATTTATGAGTTATTGATGAGAAAAAGGAACTAAGCGCTAAACAAAATGCCAGAAAATAATTTTGTTATTCATAAGTGGTCTTTTATGATACTCAAAGGTACTTGAGAGAGGTCTGTATTAAGTGAAGGAGATGTTGACCATTTTGAGGCTGATTTGATTATGGTGGTGGGATTAAGATACAAGAACAATGCATAAGAAGGCAAGTGTGGCCACCGACTTGCCTATTTTGTCAGCCGTGAATCCACAGGGGAGATCTTCCGCTGGAAATGATGGTCAGCCTGGGGAGAAGCCATCACACCATGTCATAGTAGTGGTCAAATCTTATTCTATAGTAGATTGGCAACTTTGATTACATGATTTAGCATTTTGTTATTCCTTGGTATGTTTAAGGTATTGTGGTGTAATGACATTTTTTTATAGGATAGGGTGACAAACGAGCACACAGTCCACCTGATGGTAAGTGGTTTCTGTGACCCATAGATATCTACATCCATCCTCAATAAAGAATCAAAATGCAGATGCATTGTCACCTGCGAGATAAGATGGAATGCCTCTTTTTCAGTAAAAAGAGTCTCCGGTTCTCTACACTCACCATACGAAATTTAAATTTAAGTTTCGTATGGTGAGTAAACACAGGAGTGCTGGTATTCTGTGAGAGCATGGTCCTTCCCCGGTTGAGCCAACCCATTCATGCTACAACTACACTACTAATATTGCTGCAGCATGGTTCTACGACGTAAAAATAGCCTCTACACCGTTTGTGGTCTACAGTATTTCTTAACCTTTTAGTGATGAGGGACGATTTGACCGATTTTTGATTGCCACAGATTACCGACCTTTAGACAATAACTTATGATAAGGTTGATTTCTATGTTTGTTCTATAAATAAAACACATACAAAATTTATTGTGCAGCATTGTTATTAATTATCCGTTATTTTAAACAGTGGTAGAGCCACGTGGCAGCTTTTGCTGTCGCACGGATGGACCGGCTCGATCCGGTGTGGTACCATGACCTCACAGAATACCAGCGTGAAGTAGAGCTTTACCTCTGCGTTTCGCTTGGTGAGTGCAGGTGGCCGGAGGCCCTTTTTACTGGAAAGGAGGCATTATATCTTAGTCCTCACGGGTGACAACGCATCTGCATTTTAATTTGTAATAGAGGATAGATGTAGATGTCTATGGGCCGCAGCAACCACTTACCATCAGGTGGACTGTGTGCTCGTTTGTCACCCTTATCTTAAAAAAATAAAAAGTATAACCATATATTATAAACCATAGGTTGAAATTTAGAATTGTTTGACAGGAGGAGGGGGCAGGGGTTGAGGGGAGAGGAAGGGGGGAGGGAGCGTCCCCTTACTCCCGACACCACTCCCATTAAAAGGTACAATAATATACCGTTCTTGAGAAAAATCAAAAAGAAAAGGACGGGGGAAGAGGGTAGCAGGAGTGTGCCCTATCAGAGAAAGCCCTTCCACCTTTCCCTCGTTGCGGAAAACTATAGTTTATGAGTAATGTTCTTTTTTGTAAAATCATAACTTCACTTTTTTAAACAGGAATATTGACCCTAAGTTACTTCTACAATGGCTTCGGCACTGCGGGAAGTGCAGCCCCTTCGCCCTTGCGTAACGAATCACAGGCACCCATGTGATTTGCTACGGCGGGCGTTTTTCCATGTTTTACGCATTTTAGGTTATAATAGTTTTTATTTATTTTTTTGGTAACGGTGCATTACCTTTTAATGTGAGTGGTATTATTATAATCTGGAAACAAATCTCTACCAAATAAAACGCCTTACTCTGCCAAATTGGTGCCGATTCTAATCCAACCCAAACCGTATCTACACACTGACCATTATCTCCAAAAATGTTATATACTTTTTATATGTGATATAATTGTATGATGCCTTATAGGACCACTTTGTTCACAGTGGTTCATGAACCATTGGACCCACCTTATCAGTATAGCTATTCCCACACAAGTTTAGTGAATCAGCAACAACGTCAATAACATTATCCACAATGCCATCCACTTCCTCTGCTAGAGCGAGGCACTGCTCTCCAGTACTGGTTTCTTCCTCTGCAAGTTGTCGCTGTGATGCGCTTAGTTTCATTAACTCAACATCAAGTTCTTCTTTTATTACTCTACAATAATGAGATACTGTTTATTTTTTTAATTATTATAAGCCAGTGCTTGACTACATCCACCAGGTGACGTAATAAAATGATGGTTGAACTAACACTGATTTTATAATTTTACCTGCTCTATACTTGCTATATATTACAGTAAGGAAGCCGTAGATAATAAATTGCACTGTCATGGCATAGTAAAAGTCTATTCACTCTTATCTTGAAGACACCCAGATTGTAATTGGACAGAAAGACACTTCCATTTCTTTGCTGTATGCACTATGCAAGATGATTGTTTTTTTTGTGTAGTTTTTTTTTTTAGTTTTTTGTCGTTTCTTTTTTTACAATACTTAAATTTAAATAATGCAATACACGGATAAAATAGAATAAAAAAGAAATAAACTTTCTTCTTTTTTCATCAGTCAATAAACAACCTGTCTGATGGTGGAGCATAATATGCAATGGTTGCATATTAAATTTTATTTAATTATATTTAATTTATAAAACACATTTTTATTTCATAAGATATATTACAATAAACTGTAAATAAATATGTACCTTACTTTATATAAAAACTGATTGTTAGTATGATTTATTAAAAATGGTGCTTACTGATTTTGTTTGGTTAAATCATTAACTATTGCTTCATGCCTTTCCAACATAGCCAATTGTTCCTTTAGCATAATAATGTCCATTTTCACATCTTCTATTGAATCCTGATCTCCTGGTAGACAAAGGCCTCCAAATTGTTCTTGAATAGATGATATAGATGCTTCTAATTCATCAGATGTTAAGAGACATTTCCTTTTCTCTAATTCTATATAACTGTTATTATTAACAAAAGACATAACTCAGTAACAGAAAATTTATGTGTTGTAAACAAACTTAAACAAAAAATATCAGTCTTAAATCAATAGAGGAACATTAAAGTATGACTCAACAGTAGGTTCTTTTTTAATAAAAGAGAGAGAAGCAAGCCGGCAAAGCATAGTAATGAATTATACCGATTAAACCATTTTTTAAATAATAAATTTTATTTAATTCAATTTATTTCAAACATTTAATTTCATCTTTCCTGAATCACCTACACATGGTTAATTACACAATTAAATTATCCCTGAATCCTCTTACACATTTTTAAGGAAAGAACCTAAGGACCTTTAACATTATTGTATTTAAATTTATGTACATAATATTCAAATTTAATTAATATTAAAAAGACATATTATAAAACTTATTATATTGTACTTTTAAATAAACATTGGCAAAAAAAAATTAAAGGATGGCTAACTCCATTGCATTTCTCGACTTACCGACATTCTTCTCGGGCACTTAAAGCATTATTGTGATCCAAATTCATATACAACCACTTTAATACTTCGGCAAAATTTGGATCATGTAACATCCATTCGAAAGACTTCTTGTAAGTTTCTACACCTAAGCCATGAAGAAAAGGAACAAACTCTTCATCACTTATATCACATAAATGATTCATTGTTAGGTATTATATGTACTCAATTCAAAAAAATAGTTTCTATTTGTTAATGTTTATTGTGATTATTTCTCACTACAACCGTTGCAATTACAAGATTCAAAAATATAAACAAAACAGAAATCAAACGTTTGACATTGACACTTGACTTTTTTCTTTGGTAATAGACTCGTACGATTGTTTTTTTGCCAGTAGGAAGTAAGAAAAATGATTATAAATCATAGACAGAATATACTAGCGTATTATAAATATTGTGTCTGAACACTACCTTTCTTCGTCCAGTTGCTAACTTTCTTAAACGTTTGTGGTAATGTATGGGTTGATATTATAAATTATATTTGTTGATATATTATATGTTCTTATGTGCCTAAGTATTCATAAAAGGTGTGTATTATCTATACAAATAAATAAAATTGAAGTGTCTGTTTGTAATGTCAAAATACCAGCTTTTTACTAAATGCATATAAAAGTATATACGGTACTTATAACAAAAACACAATTTTCAAAATTTTTGTCTGTCTGTCTGTTTGTTCCGGCTAATCTCCGAAACGGCTGGACCGATTTCGACGGGATTTTCACTGGCAGATAGCTGATGTTATATGGAGTAACTTAGGCTACTTATATTTTAAAAAAAGAATTATGGTTCCGCGCAACATAATTAAAACCCTAAATTACACGCGGGCGAAGTCGCGGGAAACAGCTAGTATATTATATAAAAATTACGTATGTATGCTTTGTAACAAGTATAGAGTGTATTATTTAATTTATTTGTAGTAATGTGAATTTATAAGTGTATTTATACGTATGTTATATATGTTTTTATATTTATATTTACGTATACATAGTTTCATGTTTATGGCACCTACTTAAGTTTCTCTGCTTACCTCGTGGTTGACTGGTAAAGAAAGCCTAAAGGCATTAAGTCCATCAATTGTACACTTTATGTGCAATAAAGAAGTTAAATATAAAATTAAAAAAAAACTGTTGATGCGCCACATCTCAAAGTTTTTGAATGGTTTTGACGACAGCGGATCATCGATCGAACGAACGATCGAACAACCAGCAGATCGTCCATAACGACGTTATCTCAATACGCCAAAGCAGTCACCATCGAAGTACTTATTTCATCAATTCATTATTGTTGGCGACGCGAGATAATGTTTCCTAAAATTAGTCTAGCGGTTGTTTTTAATAGAACGTTTAATTTACGTTAATTAAAATATATGAATTTTTCTCTGAAAGAAAGATAATCTTTGAATTAACTTAGTCATGCATTACATAGCGATAGGCTATGTTATACGAATAAAGAATTAAATGTTACCTATTTTTGGTTAAAATTTATGTTATACTAGCTGTTCCCCGCAACTTCGCACGCGTGCAATTATTTTGCGTGGAACCCTAAAATAAAAGTAGCCTAAGTTACTCCTTATAACATCAGCTATCTGTCAGTGAAAGTTCCATCCAAATCGGTTCATAGGTTTTTGCGTGATGCATGTTAAGACATACGTCGTGTTATAGTTTTATTATAGTGTAGATAGATATTGTATTGTATCATATTTAGCGATGAGCGATGTTTTTTCCACCTCGTTCGCAGTGCGTTCGACCGCCCTGCGTGTACCAGATTGAACAATTTTATATCGTCTTTTAAAATATCTGACCAAATTACGTAGTTTAAAATACAACGTTTATCTTGTTTGAATATCAGAAGCGTTAAAAGTATTTATTTTTTGGCATTGGAAATAAAGTATCAAATTTTATTGTATTTATGGTTTACTATTTTAGTAATAATGGCTTACACATAAAATATAGATATATACTGTCGCGAAATTTTTTGTAGAACTATTTAGGAGAAACAATTCCACCATACATTATATTCGTGTACACACTCTTACAGTTTTTGCACCGCACGCCAAAATAGCTCGTAGATGACAGATTTTTTTCCGTTTAGTTATATTTTGGCTAATTTATACAATATCTTTGTGAATTATAGCTTATGTGTTATTCTTTATGTACAAGCTATTTAAATCCATTTAGTGGTTTTGCGTGAAAGAGTACAAACATCCATACATCCTCACAAACTTTCACGTTTATAATATTACTAGCTGGCAAGACAGACGTTGTGCTGCCCTTTTCGACCACCCTTCATATAAAAAATTCTTAAATCCATAAAAATATTATTGAGTGCCACTTATAAGGATAAAACTATCCTATCTCTCATGTTGGACCAAACTGCACACAGTGTGCAAAATTTCATTGAAATCAGTTCAGTAGTTTAGGAGTTCATCGCGGACAAACAACGTCACACGTAATTTTTATATTTAAAGATATATAGTAGGATCCTTCTAAGACTTTACAAAGAACTGGTTACGGCCCAGCCTCAATAGGCGTAATGAAGTCCTGGTGACACAGTGTTCTCATACAAGGACATAACAATTGTTCTAAGATATTTCGAAACAAGCCAACATGTAAATTTGCTTTGTGTTATCTGATTGGAGAATATATAAATGACATGTTTTTAGTTTGATAGTGCGGTGACAATCAGAGTCAATCTACCATTTTGAAGCCGAAAAGTAAAGCATGGAGTGTACGCGCAGTGGAAGTAAGACATATAGCTAATTATTTGTTTAGTCATGTGATTTCTTAATTTTAAAATATGCAAAAGTTAAAGAAAAAACACCAAAGATTAGTTGTATCGTATTATATATGTTAATACTTATTTTAAATGGTCTTTTTTACAAGTCATTAATTATGTTCATGTGTGAGAACATATGGTCGATGTTTCATTAGTTGCCTGCTATAATTTGTTCTCATGAAAGAATTAGCGTTAATGGCTACTTAACTGTTTTAGAATTGATAACTTTTTTGATAAATTTTAGTACTGCTCAGGTACCATTATAATAAATAATATGATACCTGCAGCGATGAGGGCCATGGTAGCAGATGAGAGACTACTGAAAGATCGCGGTAGAGGCAGTACTCAGGTCCTGGTCAAACATGATCAAAAGATAGCTTTATTAAAGTGATTCGACAACAAAACAGTGACTTTGTTATCATCAATAAAGACCAGTGAAGAAATAGATATTTGAAAAGGTGGTGTAAGCGTCAAAGAAGATATGTACCTGTGAGCAGCCCAGAGTAATACGAAATTACAATGTAAAATATGGGCGGCGTCGACCTTGCTGACAGAAGCTAGCTGTGTGTCCGTACAAATATCGGACTAAGAAGTGGACTCCGCGGTTCATTTCACATAATATGTAATATGACGCGTTGAGTCCACTATAAAACATTCCTATGAAATGAAACTAAACATTCCTATAAAAAAGATTCCTTAATCGCTGGTATTCAAAAATTATCTTGGCGAATTCCTAATTGAGAACTATTCTAAACCAGAGGCTATTGAAATTTATAATTTGGACTTTGAACAGAATCTCTTGAAAACCTTCCAAGCGTCAGTAGCCTAATGGCAGGGCGCGGACCGCGAACTCGAAAGGTCGTGAGTTCGAATTCACCATTCGACTACTGTCGTGAACCACTTCTAACACAAGCATTTTAAGCTTACCAGAAGTGGTTAAAGGGAATATTAGTAATGTTTAATAACATTACTAGTATTTTTTATAATAAAAAAAAATAAAAAAATAATAATAAAAATAAACCTACTGCTTAACTTCCGACCAAAAAACGACGTACGCAAGGTGCCGATCACATGTCTGTCTTTTCTGACAAACAATCTAGATGCTGACAATTCCACTATAAAAAATCTCGCATCTCTTGTAGGTCATGTAATGTCACTGTACGTTTGACTTCTGATCGGAACTTTCTTTTAGAATTAAATTCATAAAAGATTCAATAATTGCAATAAAACTAATTTTAATATGGGTGTTAAGGTTTTTAAGTAAAAATATTGATTCGATGCCGAAACTGTAGGCAAAGTGATAAGAAACGTGAAAAGAGAAAAAATATGTAATAAAATAAAAACAGTTTTTTTTTTATTGCTTAACAGCCCAATGACATCGACAGAGAATATAAAACATATTATTACGTAACGGCCCATTGGTTTCAGACATGAACAAAATATTTTGTAGGTTTGACGGCCTAAATCTATTCATGTATATATAATTAATGCTAGGGAAAATACCGCATTCAACAAAATAATTATTTTAAAACTTTTCGGTCTGGGCGGCAACCATGCACAAACTTGGCACAATATGTTCAGTGTTCGCCCCCGTCACTACATTAGATTTGATAGACCACAAATCCTCGCTAAGGAACACCGATTCCTTCCACGGATGATTCGCGAGGCTATTGAAATGAAAAAAAAAACATCCTAATTTCAATAGAGAAGACTGCTGGGTGCTATCATCTGCTTGCGATCCCATAATTAATAAAATTAAATCCCAACCCAAACATACAACTGTAAGACTTCAAGATACTGTAAGTTCATACTGCGTAGATCGGAACAAAAATTAATAATTTTTAATCTGGAGGAAGGTGGTTATCAAGGAGGTTATAATATAATATAGGGAGTGAGCGCTTGGAACATTGTAATCGTTTCTCATTTTTCTAAGAAAGAGAGGCCTCCTCCTTCTAACGTTGATAAATGTTTACAGAAAATAAAAACATTACCAACGTTAAGACAGTTATTGACTTAAAGTAATATTTGAGACGTATGCTAGAACGATAATCTTACATATTTTATCGCGAATCATAGTTGGTATATTCCATATTGTATTTTAATTATGCTTATTATTAAATAACACGAAAAAAAAAACACTAAAATACTTTAATGTATGAAATTTATAACTCCAAATGTCAAACAATTAAATTCTAATGTAATTTTAAATGGAGAGAAACTGAGTCTTGTAGATACCACCATTTTTCTTGGAATCACATTAGATGCCAAGCTTCAATGGAGCCCCCATATATCAAAATTAGCAAGCAGACTTAGCTATGCAGCATATGCTGTAAAAAAGTTTAAAAGTCTTACCAGTATTGAAACAGCTAGA